GTTTGGCTCAGTGTTTGGAGCATTGGCCCGAGGACCAAAGGGTTGTAGGTTCCATCCCTGGCCCTGGTCAGGGTTGTGCAGGAGGCAACCAGTCAGTGTGTCTCTCACATCAGTGTTTCTCTTTCTTTCTCCCTCTCTTCCACTCTATGTAAAAATCAGTGGAAACATATCCTCAGGTGAGGATTAACAAAAAAGAGAGAGAGAGAGAATCTCATAGGGAAGGGGGGAGGTGGGTTGAAAAGAGATTAACCAAAGAACTTATATGCATGTGTGCATTGCCCATGGGCACAGAGAGTAGGGTGGTGAAGGCCCAGGGTGGGGTGGGAACTGGATGAAGGGGGGTATTAGCGGGGGACATCTGTAATTCTCTCAACAATAAAGATGAAAAAATATAGAAATAAAATAAATAATAAAACAAATGATATACAAAAAAAAGAATCTTAACATTAGTTTTCTTACCTTGATACAGAGCCTGCCACAATGACTTTTAAATATATATTCAAAATCTCTTTTAACAATCTGTTCAAGTATGAAGACCTTTTTTAGGAAAATAAAAACCATTATTTTTATATAAATGTAAATCATTTACATAAATGTAAGTCATTTACTATTACCCTCTGGTACAGGTGACAATCTAATCTGAAGTCACTTATCTATCCTGGTTTTCTCTCACAGGTTCCACTCATTTTCATGCTGGCATGAGAAGATAATCCTTTGAAACATCATGAATCGAAGTGATTTTAAGCAAATTCCCTTTTGTAAACCAATGGTTCTTTTGTGCTTTTGTATTGTGGATATTCGATGGGACCAACACGAACACAGCTTATGATTGTATACAAATCCCTTGCCAGCACATGAAAACAAACTGGAATTTGTACATATAAGCATTGTGTATGTATTCATGCACAATAATCATTTCAATTACATGTGTATTTGTGGAATGCTAATTTAAATGGTTAAATTATAAACTTAGTGTATTTATCAAATGGGTGACAAGATTAAACTTTTGCGCATTATGACACTGCTGAATGTGTAGCTTGAGGTGTCCTGCACTTTTCTTATAAGGCTACTGAAGTTACCTGTTTCTGCCTAATATATTTGCTACTGGTGATGATGACAGATATCACTTGTAGAGACCTATTTTTGTATAATGGTAGAAGTTTTGAATTTTATGGGGTATTTTGTCAAGTACTGAAATAAAAATGACTTCACCATTTTAACCACACTATTTGAACCGTCTTCATTTTAATTCATTTAAGCCATAGTTCTTGGTGCGTCTTCGTCCGTTCCGGCCGCTCTAACAAAATGCCGTAGACTGTGTGCTTGTGAACAACAGATATTTATTTTTCACAGTTCTGGAGGCCGGGAAGTCCAAGATCAAGGTGCCAGCAGATTTGGTAACTGGTGGGACCCACTTCCACACTCAGACTGGATCTTCTTGCTGTGTCCTCATACTGCAGAAGGGCAAGGGAGCTCTTTGAATCTCTTATAAGAGTACTACCTGTTCATGAGAGCTCCCCATGATGTAATCACCCTGCAAAAGCCCCACTTCTGAATACCAACAAATTAGAGATTCAGTTTTAACATATGAATTGGGGGGGAGCACAAACTGGCAGTGTTTATTACCTCATTACTTATCGGGAATATGTAGGATTTAGAGATTCAGAAAGTTCTCCTAATCTTACAGATATGATATGGATTTTTCTCTCCATTGAAGAATTTTCATTGTGCCTTTGTATCAATTTTATATCTGTATAGTATTTTTTTAAAGCTATATTGATATTTTCCTGATTCTTATTTGCTCTTTTAATGTTACTTGTGTCCAAAGGTGTGTCCTAACAAGCCATGTCCACGAAGATGATGTAGAACTCATTTAACTCAAATAACCTTAAATTTTATTAACCACAGTACAATAGAATGAAAGTGTTTCTGTCTAAGCCAAATACATATTGGGAATCTCGCAGTTATTTCTTAGAGTCCTCTCTGATAATACGGCAACAACTCATTAAAACAGCAAGAATAGTAGTATTTGATACTTATAAGCAGATTTTTGTCTTACCATTGGGTATTCTATGATTTATACCAACACAAGCAATGGAAACAAATTCTAGTCTTGAAGATTTCATAGTAACTACATTGTCCCTATTAGCAGCTGGGTTCTGATAAGAGTTCTAGAAATAACAAATGTATTTTATATTTTTATTTATTTTTTATCCTCACCAGAGGACACCTTTCCATTTTTTGTTCAGATAGAGTGGGAAGGAGAGAGAGGTAGAGAGAGAGATGTTAAAGGGACACACAGAGTGGCTGCCACCTGCACAACCAACCAGGGCTGGGGACAAACTGCAACCGAAGTACGTACCCTTACGGGAACCGAACCTGGGTCTCTCTGGACCGCAGGCCGACGCTCTAACCACTGAGCAAAACTGGCCAGGGCAACAAATGTATTCTAAAGCAGATAATTGAAGGTGAGGGTTGTGGTTAAAACCTTTCAAAGCTTGCTATTTTGCTGAGAAAGAAGGAGCAGGTAGACAAGTGTTCTGATCAGTCTCTGTTCACTCCCATTGTTTAACCATCAGCCCTCTTCATGACATTAGGCTTCTGCTGTTCAGCTTGTTGATGCTTATCAATAGTCTATGATTAGAAAGTAAGTCTATTAGTCTCAAACTACTCACCAGACATAGAGTAGCCTTTCCTCGGGGTTTTAACTTTATTTGTGCCATGAACCTATCAAGCTTTGTTGTAAAACTATGGGTCTCTTCTCATAACAAGCTTTTTTGGTGATGGTATGGTTAATCCTCAACTGAGGATATTTTTCCATTGATTTTTTAGAGTAGAAAAGAGGAAACCAGGGGCAGGAGAGAAACATCGATGTGAGAGAGAGACACACCAACTGATTGGCTCCCCCATAGGGCCTGGGTCAAACCTGCAACCCAGGTACTTGCCCTTGACTGGGAATCGAACCCAAGACTGCTTGCATTAACTTTGTCCGCAGGCCGAAGCTCTAACCACTGAGCAAAACTGGCCAGGGCAGAATAATGATTTTTAAAGACATGAAATAAATATGTAGGATTGTAAAGGAAACCAGTTATATAGAAATGGTGAAACTAAAAATTTTTTGTGATATGACATTTAAGTTTAAAGAAATAAGATCTAGCCCTGGCCGGTTTGGTTCAGCGGTTAGAGCATTGGCCTGCAGTCCAGAGACCCGGGTAAAGTTCCCGCTAAGGGCATGTACTTCGGTTGCAGTTGTCCCCGGCCCTGGTTGGTCGTGCAGGTGGCAGCCACTCGATGTGTCCCTTTCACGTCGATGTTTCTCTCTCTTTCTCCCACTCTGTCTGAATAAAAAATGGAAAAATATCCTCGGGTGAAGATAAAAAAAATAAAAATAAGTAAGATCTAACAATTAACATAATTTCAAAGTAGTCATGAGAGTAAAAGATACTTCAAGATCTACAACGTCTATAATGTGATAGGAAAATATCTGGGTACTCCTAATACTAGTGTGGTTTGTTGCCTAGATTCTTAAATAAAGGAGATACTAAATTACAGTGTGAAATTAATACACATAAGGATGGCCCTGGCCAGTTTGGCTCAGCGGTTAGAGCGTCGGCCTGCGGTCAGGAGAGACCCGGGTTTGGTTCCCGCTAAGGGCACGTACTTCGGTTGCAGTTTGTCCCCGGCCCTGGTTGGTCATGCGGGTGGCAGCCACTTGATGTGTCCCTTCACGTTGATGTTTCTCACTCTCTCTTTCTTCCTCTCTCTCCCTCCCATTCTATCTGTACAAAAAATGGAAAAATATCCTCGGGTGAGGATAAAAAATAAAAAAAATACACATAAGGATGGAATTTTTTTTTTCCATCCAAGTTCCTAGATTCCTAAATTCTAATCACTAAAACACACATGCTTTACAATTCATGAATTCAGACTATATTTTTCTCAAAAATAATTTTAATGTGAAAAACTAACAATGAGAGAGAGTTTAATATGCGTCCTCCAGCCTCTTAAACAAGTATTATACACAAGGGAAAATATTTTGGCCTTATTTAGTAAAAGCAGACAATGTGGTCAATTACAGGTATAGAGTCAGGCCCCCAGCTATAATTTGAGTTGATTCTTGGACACAGCCTTCACAGAATGTGACCGATGATACTATTCAAGGACCCTGTTTCATATCACCCTTATCTTAAAAGCAGAGTTCCCTTCTCAGATTTTATATTTTTACAAAAACAAAACTTGTTGACCTAAATTAAATTTTAGTAAACAGAACTAGTAGCAAAAACATCCCTAAATAGATTCTGGAGAGAAAGCAGGGAACCACCTTTATTTTGGATTCTCACACAGATGTGATCATGTGGAACCAGATACAAATTTATCAGGTAGATGAAGTATTTAGTAATTAGATCAAGTCAATGCAAGCAGTATTTAGAATTAATAATTATATTATTTAGGAAATGTAATTAAGCCATTACCATAGATCTTCCTCTATTTCCTATAAGACAATACTTCCTAAGGACCTATTTTCCTACAACAAAGCTCCACTCCAGCTAATTATCATCATACCAAAACAATGAATAGGATTCTTTTTCCAAAGCTTTAGGTGTGAGCTTATTCCCTACCCACCCATCCTCACACACCCAAACATTACATGAATAATGAATAAATAAACTAAGGCTTCCAAGTATCTCATTGGGCTTTTATACTTGCAGATCTAGTCCGAGATTTGAATACCCTGAACTTACCTGCCAAGAGCTATGTATGCTTTTAAAATAAATACCTAGAAATTATGTTATTTAGAATCTGCTGTAAGATCCTCCCAAATAATTTTTTTACTAATGAGCTTGGTTTCCTTAAATAAAGCATGTGTAGTAAATATCCATCGTAAAACTATTAGGACATGTCTCAAATGCCATTAGATTTTATGGAATCATTAAGAAAATACAAAAATCGTTAAGTTGGCTGTCTTTTAAAGTAACACACTCAAACAAGAGTACACTAAGTTGTTTCATCAACTTCATTCTCTTCAAATGCTGTTTACAGTGATGACTCATATACTTTTTCCTTGCAGCATTTTTCATTTTGATCTTCGTTTGTATCGGATAACTGGGTTTTCAGGGGTGTGAATCATGGTTGTATAATTCACAGAGGGAAAATAGCCATTGATGAGATCAAATTCATATAAACGAAGCATAGTGGACCAAATTGTCTTGATTTGAACATAAGCAAAATTCTCCCCAATACAACGATGACGCCCTACAAAAAAAAAGTTTTCATAAGATTCAGCTGAAATTCTTTCTTTTCTTTTAGCCTGGAGTGATGAAATTTGTTTAGATACAGTTTAGGCGAAGAGCAGATATTATAATAAAAAGATGACATTCTTTTCACATAAAACAAGAACATAACCCTGGTAGTATGACTCAGATAGTTGGAATGTCACCCATGCCCTGAACGGTATATGTTTCTTTCTCTCTCCCTCTCTCTCTAAAATCAATTAAAAAAAATTGTTTTAAAAGAAACAATTTAATCCTCGGGTGAGGATTAAAAAAATAATACATTTTTTAAAAAGAATATAAATAGTTAATAAAAATCCCAGGAGGTTTTCAACATCTGTTTTTAGAGGAAACAGCACTTGGGTAATTTATATGACTCTTCCAGATACTATTTTTGAAACTTAACATCTACATAGGTTAAATATATGTAAGGTTTGAAATACACAATACTACTCTAGTTTGGCAATATATTAGAATATTCTTAGCTTCTCTCCCAAGAGAGCCCTACCTAGTTAGTTAAAAGTCAATATAAACCTTCCAATCAAAACTTTAAATGCCATTTCAAATGACAGTGGAAGAAAAGGGCATTTAATAAACTCCAAATAGCAACACATACTGAGATCAAAATTTGAAAGGATATATACACATAGCCTTGGCTGGTTTGGCTCAGCAGTTAGAGCGTCAGCCCTTGGACCAAGGAGTCACGGGTTTGATTCTGGTCAAGGGCATGTACCTTGGTTGTGGTTTGTCCCCGACCCTGGTTGGGTTGTGCAGGTGGCAACCAATCATTGTATCTCTCTCACATCGATGTTTCTCTCTGTCTCTCTCTTCCTTCCTCTCTGCCTCCCTCTCTATCTGGAGATAAATGTAAAAATATCCTTGGGTGAGAAAAAACAAACAAACTGGATATATGCACATAAAAACTGACAAGATGATTCTAAAATTCACATGGAAATGTAAAGGACCTAGAATATCCAAAGTGATCCTGAAAAAACCCAAGTTGGAGGACTTAAACTGACTTCAAATCTGACTTCAATACTAAAGGTACAGCAACTGCTGTATGTAATTTGTATTAAGAAATATATACTTATTCTTCCTCCCGTCATTGGCAAAGAGCTCCTCAAACCCTTGGAATTTCTTAAGTGAAAAGAACAAGGAGCCTTTTGTTCATAACAAGCCCCTTTCAGCCACACTGGAGTTTGTTAATGAGGGGACTGTGGAAAGCCCCTCAGGATGGAGGCTGGCTGTCAGAGGAACCAAGCACATGATTACAGGGGTGGAACTTTCAGCCAGACACCCTGACTTACAGGAGGGAGAGGGGCTGAAGGTTGAATGCAGCACAAATGACCAATGATTTAATCAATCTTTCCTTTGTGATGAAGCCTCCACAAAAATCCTTAAATACAAGGGGTGTTCTAAGAGCTTTCAGGTTGGTGAACACATGGCGGTGCTGGAAGGGTGGCATACCCAGAGAGGGCGTGGCAGCTCTGTGCCTCTTCCCTCATGCACCTCTTCAGCCAGGCTATTCCTGAGTTGTATCTGGTCTAGTAAGTAAACTGTTTTCTGAGTTCTGTAAGCTGTTCTAACAAATTATGGAACCCCAAGAAGGGAAATGAGAGAATCTCTGATTTATAACCGTTGGTCAGAAGACTTGCAATTAGTGGGGGAGGGGAGTAGTCTTGTGGGACTGAGCCTTTAACCAATGGGGTCTGTGCTAACCCCAAGTAGAGATTGTCAGAACTGAACTGAATTGTAGGAACCCAGATAATGTCCTCAGAAAACTGGTATGGGAAAAAAATTACACATTTGCAAAAATGCCCCTATTAGGAAGGGACAGATGATAAAATTCACATGGATTATTTTTGTTCTGGTAACATCTGACAAGTTGAACAAATATTTCAAATATAAAATATAATCATCTTACCAGCTCCAAATGGCACATAGGCAAACTTCTCTCCTGATGCTGGATTGTCCTGTAAGTAGCGATCAGGATTAAAGTCCAGGCGTTCACTCCATGAGTCTTTAAGTCTGTGATTGACAGTGGGAGAAACACACACCTGATGTCCTGGAGGAATGGTATACCCTGCCACAGTCTACAAATAAAAACAAAACATCATTAGATAACTTATTTTTTAAATTTTTTTCTCTATTGATTTTAGAGAGGAAGGGAGAGGGAGAGAGAGAAACATCAATAAGCGAGAACATGGATTGGCTGCCTCCTGCATGCCCCTCACTGGGGATCGGGCCCACAACCTGGGCATGTGCCCTGACCAGGAATTGAACTGGCGGCCTCTTGGTGCATGGGTAATGCTCAAACACTGAGCCACACCAGCCGGGCTCATTAGATAATTTAAATACATTCTTTCAAATATCAGGTCATTGTGCAATAAAGCATTAATATACATCAGATATACATATATTTTAAAACTAGCTAGATGATAGGCCAGCAAAAAATTATTTTAACTCAAGATGATTTCCAAATGACCTAAAATTGGGCTACAAGTATATACACAAAAGTCATAATTCCTAGAAGGTAGGGGTGGGATTTCAAGGAGCCTTTCCATAATTTAACTTTTACACTTTCATAGTTGGAATTTTTTTACAACAAAACATGTTATTTTTTTAAAGTAAGTAAAATATTTACTTCCATTTAAAAAACCCTAATTATGCCCTGGCCAGTTTTGCTCAGTGGTTAGAGCATGGGCCTGCAGTTCAGAAAGACCCGGGTTCTGTTCCCGCTAAGGGCACGTACCTCAGTTGCAGTTGGTCCCCGGCCCTGGTTGGGTCATGCGGGTGGCAACCACTTGATGTGTCCCTTTCACATCGATGTTTCTTTCTCTCTCTCTTCCTCTCTCTTCCTCCCACTCTATCTGAACAAAAACACGAAAAAATGTCCTCGGGTGAGGTTAAAAAATAAATAAAATAAAAATTCCTATTATGCCCTGACTGGTTTGGCTCATCGTTAAAGAGCGGCAGGGCCCATGGACCAGAGAGTCTCAAACTCAATTCATGGTCAAGGGTACGTGCTTGGGTTGCAGGTTCAGACCCTGGCCCCAGTTGGGATAGTGCAAGAGGCAACACATTGATGTGTCTCTCTCACATCAATGTTTCTCCTTCCCTCCCTTTCCCTCTATCTAAAAATTAATGGAAAAATATCCTTGGGTGAGGATTAACAAAAAAAATTTTAATAACTCTAATCGTTAAATAAAAATGCAGAGAACATATTAGCTTGTATACTGTTTGCAATTATGTGAAAATATTTATATATTTACAATATGTAAACTTTAAAAATTAGGTAAAAGTGAATATTATTCTCGTTTTTTAATTTAATAAATTCTCCTTCAGGAACTCATCTTTTTGATATTAAAATTGGGGGCATAGAAGGGAAAATCTAACCAAGACACTCACCTGAGGAGTTTTGGCCATTCTCATCATGGTCATAATAGGAGGTCGAAGTCTTAATGTTTCTTTTATACAGCGATCAATTAAATTTAGATCCTTGAGCTTAAAAGAGAAAACATTTCCTGAGTTTTATAACTATTTAACATACTTCAACATTATTTTAACTTAAATATTTTATATATTAAAATTTATTTTATTTAGTTAATTTTAAGTTAAATTTATTTTTCCTGGGTTATTACAAAATAGCTTATATTCTGGATAGAAGTGCAGAGGTAACTGCTTCAAGGTAGCTGGGATAATCTTGTTCTAGTGCTGTCCAAGCTCAACAAGGGAGAAGAGGGGAAGATAACAGAAAAAGAGGCAATCACCCTGAAGAGTGGCATAGTAAGGACCTACAAAAATTCATCTAAAAAATGAAAAATAGCAATGTCAGCTTTTGAAAAACCTGTAAATATTTAGAATTATTGATAATAGCCAAAAGGTAGAAACAACTCAAAAGTCCATCAACTATTCAATGGATAAACAAATGTGGTCGCCCTGGCCAGTTTGGTTCAGCGGTTAGAGCATCAACCTGCAGTCCAGAGAGCCCGGGGTTCAGTTCCCACTAAGGTCACATACCTCGGTTGCAGTTTGTCCCTGACCTGGGTTGGAGTTGTGTGGGTGACAACACTCAATGTATCTCTCTCACATTGATGTTTCTCTCTCTCTCTTCCTCCCTCTCGCTTCCTCCCTCTCTCCCTCCCATTCTGTCTGAAGATAAATGCAAAAGTGTCCTCAGGTGAGAATTAAAAAAAAAAAAAAAAATGTGGTATATCCAAATGATGGACTATTACTGGGCAATAAAAAAGAGTGAAGTACTAATATATAATACATGGATTAACACTGAACATATTAAGTTAAAGTAGCCAGTCACAAGAGACCACATATTACAGTTGTCCCTCGCCACTTCGCACGTCGACTTTCACAGCTTCACTCTATTGTGGTTTTTTCAAATACTATACTATACTATGCTATATTTGAAAAAAAGGCGATAGAGTGAAGCCACTAAAGTCGAAGCCCGAAGTGGCGAGGGACGACTGTATATAAATAAAGAATCCTACTGCGTGGAAATTCATTTATCATGGAGTCTGGAAGTGATTAATAGCAATAAATGAGGCCAACTGTTATATGAATGTGGTCATTATATGAAATGTCCAAAATAGGCAAATCCATAGAGATAAAAAGTAGATGAGTGGTTGCCAAGGGTAGGGCACAGGGAAAATAGAGAGTAACTGCTAACATGTACAGGCTCTCTTTTGGAAGTGATGTAAATGTTCTAAAATTAAATTGTGATGATTTCACAACTACAAATATATTTAAAAATAAGTAAATTGTACCCTGGCTGGTTTGGCTCAGCAGTTAGAGCGTCGACCCATGGATCAATGAGTCGCGGGTTTAATTCCAGTCAAAGGCATGTACCTTGATTGCTATTTGTCCCTGGCCCTGGTTGGGGTTGTGCAGGAGGCAGCCACTTGATGTGTCCCTTTCACATTGATGATTCCAGCTCTTTCTCTCTTCCTTTTTCTCCCTCCCACTCTATCTGAACAAAAATGGAAAAATGTCCTCCGCTAAGGATAAAAATAAATAAATTCTACACTTTAAATGAATCATTTTATAAAAGTATGTGAACTATATATCAATTAAGCTATTATTTTCAAAGTTAATTAAAATCAGAAATGAAAGAGAAGACATTACTACTGACCTTAAAGAAATAAAAGGGCCCTGGCCGGTTTGGCTCAGCAGTTAGAGCGTCGGCCTGCGGTCCGGAGAGACCCGGGTTCGGTTCCCGCTAAGGGCACGTACTTCGGTTGCAGTTTGTCCCCGGCCCTGGTTGGTCGTGCGGGTGGCAGCCACTCGATGTGTCCCTTCATGTCGATGTTTCTCTCTCTCTCTCCCTTCCTCTCTCTCCCTCCCACTCTCTCCCTCCCACTCTATCTGTACAAAAAATGGAAAAATGTCCTCGGGTGAGGATAAAAAATAAATAAATAAATATTAAAGAAATAAAAGGGATTGCAAAAGAATACTATAACAATTGTAGGCCAACAAATTAGGTAATCTAGATTTAAATGGATAAATTACTAGAAAGACACAAACTACCAAAACTAACTCAAGAAGAAATAGAACATATGAATAAACCTGTAACAAATTAAAGAGACTGAATTACTAATCAAAAAACTTCCCACAAAGAAAAGCACACAGATAGCTTCTCTGGTGAAATCTATTAGACACGTAAGAAAGAAATACCACCAATCCTTCACAAACTCTTCCAAAAAATAAAAGAGAAGGGAACACTTCCAGAATCACTCTGTGAGATGTGTATTACTCTGATACCAAAATCTATCACACACATCACATTAAAACTACAGATCAGCCTGGCTGGTGTGGCTCAGTGGTTGACCATAGACACATGCACCAAGAGGTCGCTGGTTCAATTCCCGGTCAGGGCACATGCCCAGGTTGTGGGCCTGATCCCCAGTGGGGGGCATGCAGAAGGTGGCCAATTGAAGTTCTCTCTCATCGATGTTTCTATCTCTCTCCCTCTCCTCTCCTCTCTCTCTAAAATCAATAAAGAAAAAAAAGAAGAAAAAAGCCCTGGCAGGTCTGGCTCAACAGTTAGAACGTCGGCCTGTGGACCAAAGTCATGGGTTCAACTCTGTGTGAGGGCATGTATCTCAGTTGTAGTTGGGTCCCCAGCCCTGGTCGGAGTCATGTGGGAGGCAACCAGTCAATGTGTCTCTCTCTCTCCCCCTCTATCTGAAGATAAATGGAAAAATGTATCCTCAGGTGAGAATTAAAAAAGAAAATTTTAAACTACAGATAAACGTTTATAAACAGAGATGCACAAATTGTCAACAACATACTAGCAAACCAAATCCAGCATTAGGACATTTCAGGGAGAACTATGGGGAATTTTCAAAAAACAGAAGCTATTCAGATTAATCTATAGTACACAGAAAATTTCAAATTGTCTCCTTTATTTTTTATATTCTTCTTAAAAATTTTCATGAATCCCCACCCCCTCTCTTTGGTAACCATCACTTGCTCTCTGTATCTATGGGACTGTTTAATTCATCTGTTTTTTTAGATTCCACAAATAAGTGAAACCATTCTGTCTGACTTACTTCACTTAGTATAATACCCTCTGGGTTCATCAAATACCCTCTTGTCACAAATGGCAAGATTTCATTCTTTTTTTGCTGAGTAATATTCCATCGTGTGTGTGTGTGTGTGTGTGTGTGTGTGTGTGTGTGTGTGTGTATTGCATCTTTTTTATCCATTTATCTATCAATAGACACCTAGGTTGCTTCCATATCTTGGCTAATGTAAATAATGCTGCAGTGAATATAGGAATGCATATATCTTTTCAAATTAGTGTTTTGTTTTCTTTGGCTAAATAACCAAAAGTGGTATTGCTTAGTCATATGACAGCTCTATTTTTAATTTTTTGAGAAATCCCCATCCTGTTTTCCATAGTGGCTGTACCAATTTGTAATCCCACCAACAATGCATGAGGGTTCCCTTTTCTCCACATCCTCACCAGCACTTATTTTTTGATGACAGCTATTTTGATAGGTGTGAGGTGGTGGTTTTAATTTGCATTTCCTGATGTTTGTGATGTTGTGCATCTTTTCATATGTCTATTGGCCATCTGTATGTCCTCGTTGGAGAAATGTCTACTCAGGTCCTCTACCCATTTTTTAATCAGATTGCTTTTTTTTTTTTTGGTATTAAATTATATGAATACCTTTAAAATTTAGGATAGTAATCCTTTATTGAATGTTTCATTTGCAAATATATTCTTCCATTCAGTGGGCTGTCTAATTGTTTTATTGATGGTTTCTTTCTCTGTGCAAAAAATTTTTAGTTTGATGTACCATGTTTATTTTTGCTTTTCTTACTCAAATTGTCCACTTTAAAAATTAGCCACAGATACTCAAATAAGACAGCAATAAAAATGAAAATCCAACAGACCTGGTCATAAGTTAAAGGAGGCAGATTCTCTCCACAGACTGTTTTCTGTTCTAAATAACATTTTTCTTGAAGTGTCTTGTCTCTGGCCAAAAAGAAGCCCATCCAGGCACTAGTAGTTGAGGATGTGTGCTGCCCTGCCAGGAGCAGTCCAATAAGCATGCCTGCTACTTCATCGTCTGTTAGAGGACGCCCATCCCTGCAGAGTGAACCACACACACAAATTTAACATTCTCGCACACATTTCATACCTCAATCTTTAAATAAAGGGTCATAATGAATACATTTTTCAGGTATAATATATAATAGTCTCTTGCATTTTCCCATCAGAAGTCAGAATTTATTTTTCCCCATTAGGGAAGAGACAAATCAATAAAAAATATGGTTTTGATTATAAAAGACAGTTTCCTAGCAAACTTTTCACCATGTGCAATCCCTGCAATGCTGGTAAGGCACAGGTTCCCAGTAACTTATGTCTCATCCATTTAAAAAGTCCAATGATCATAGTTACCAATTTTGCTAGCATCATTTTTTAACTGGAGACATATTATTTAACTGTGTTTTAATGTGTAATCTCCTACTTCAGCTTAGTATATGATCTGAACAGCTCTTACTTATAAGTAGAATCTAGTAAAGTTTGGAGAATGTCATCAATTTTTTCTTCCGACTGTCTGCGTTTTTGGATTGCCTTATAAAAAATATTCTTGATCTCTCGATGAGCTCTGTCTCTGCGTCTGTAATTGAAAGATGAAAATAACTTCAAAAAAATAAAGCAGTACTTTCTGGCATCAAATTCCTTTTTAAAATAACCTAGCTTAAAGAAACCTTATTTAACGAACTTTAATGTCTCTAAAATAACGAACAAAACTCAGAACAAAGATAAAAAAAAGACAGCATGAAAATCATATATTTATAGGAATTTCTAGGGTCCCTAAGGGCAAAAAAAGTGTTTTAACATATAGACCCTGATTCTTAACACACAACCTGTGTTCTAACCAAAGGTCTAAAACAACACTGAAATTATTAGGCCTTTAGAATCATTTTTCAGTGTAACAGAGAGAAAGCAGTACACTCCTTTTTTTTTTTTTTCTTTATTGATTTTAGAGAGAGGAAGGGAGAAAGAGAGAGACAGAGACATCGATGAGAGTGAACATCGATTGGCCGCCTCCTGCATGCCCCCACTGGGGATTAGGCCCATAACCTAGGCGTGTGCTCTGATGGAGAATTAAACTGGCGACCTCTTGGTGCATGGGTTGATGCCCAATCACTGAGCCACACCAGCCAGGCAAAAGCAGTACACTCTTTTTAGGTTAACATGAAATTCCGATTTTAACGAAAGTAATTGTTGAAGTAGATGAGTCATTCTGGTTCTTCTATAGGATCTAGGATTTGAAGAAACCTGGGATTTATTTAGGATTATTGAAATGTAGGATTTAGAACATGACTACAGCATATAGGATTTGATTCTACTCTTCATTTTCTGAGAAAACAAAGTGTTATAGGGGGTAAAAATATTAGCAGAGTCAGAAAACAAACTTCAACTCCCCAGACTTTACCTTTATAATAGGATGCTCACTAGGCAGCAGGTACTGTTTTATATGAATTACCCACTTGGACCTCCTGTAAGGTGAAAGCTATTATCCTCACTTTCCAGAGAGCTGCATAAGATCACATAGCCAGTGAGCAGTGGAGCTGAAATTTAAAACCAAGCAATCTGACTACTTAGCCCCCTCTTAATTAAGCCTTCTAATAAAAATCCCTGCCCTGCTTCATTTTAAGACTATTACTGAGGATAATACAGAAAGAAGGGAGGAAGATGGTGAAGTTTAACAGTATGAACACAACAGAGCCAGGAAAACATAAGGCCTATTTAAGAAAATGAATGGAGCCCTGGCCAGTTTGGCTCAGCGGTTAGAGCATCGGCCTGCGGTCCGGAGAGACCCGGGTTCGGTTCCCGCTAGGGGCACGTACTTCTGTTGCAGTTTGTCCCCGGCCCTGGTTGGTCGTGCGGGTGGCAGCCACTCGATGTGTCCCTTCATGTCGATGTTTCTCTCTCTCTCTCTCTCTCTCTCTCTCTCTCTCTCTCTCTCTCTCCCTCCCTCCCACTCTATCTGTACAAAAAAATGGAAAAATATCCTCGGGTGAGCATGAAAAAAAAAAAAGAAAGAAAGAAAATGAATGGAGCCCTGGCTGGTTTTGCTCCGTGGTTAGAGCATCAGCCTGCAGACCAGTGAGTCACAGGTCTGATTCCGGTCAAGGCATGTACCTCGGTTGTAGTTCGTCCCTGGCCCTGGTCAGGGTCATGAGGGAAGCAACCAGTCAGTGTGTCTGTCTCACATCAATGTTTCTCTCTCTCTTTCCCTCTCTCTCCCTCCCTCCTACTCTATCTGAAGATAAATGGAAAAAAAATCCTCGGGTGAGAATTTAAAAAAAAGGAGAAGAAAATGAATGGAATAATTTGGTTGAATCTGTTGAATTGGGTAAGACAGAGAAAGACTGGGCTGGAGAGACTGGTGAAGGGCCTATCATACCAAGCTCAGGAATTTCTGACTTCATCCAAGAGATAGGGAAGGTGGAGATAGGCTCAATGCACATTTATGGAGAACCCAACTCTAGGCTCAGGGCTGTGCTGGATATTCTAACATATTATGAAGGAAAGCATTTGGAAAACTACAAAGCTCCCTACAAATGTAAAGTATTATAAATTCCCAAGAGCTCCAGACCCTCTCCTGGCTCTCCCTTTTACTCTGTAAATATACAGCAGTGGTAGACGCAAAAGGAAAAGTACCAACTTAACTTCACTCCATTTCACCTGAACAGAACAGAATCAACAAAGGTACAGAAAAGCCTACAAGTATGCAAGGCACTAAGCTTACATCAAGTCTATAAGCAATATTTCTTTGTATCACAGATGGTCCCCGACATTTAGGTAATCAAACAACAGTTGGCAAGGAGACAGAGAAAATTAAAGAAAGGCATTAATACTCAAACAAAAAAATTTCACAATATGCTACCAAACGGTCTCAAACAAGTGCTTAGCGGGCCATATCACTGTTAGGTAAAATTCAGAGACTTTCCTGAGTACAAAGAATATGTGAGATAAGTAGGCTGTAAAATATTAGAACAGATATACAACAAAGTAGCTTTTTAATAAGCTGAAACTTACCTTAAATGAGCTCAGTATATAAAGAAACCTATCTTGAATACTTATAGAAGAATGGGGGCTAATAATCTCCCCAAATTTATTTGCTTAATGTTTAATTTTTAAAAATTTTTCAATTACAGTTGACATTCAATATATTAGTTTCAGGTGTACAGCATAGTCGTGAGACATTTATATAACTTATCAAGTGAACCCCCTGTAAGTCTAGCACCCACCTGGCCCCATTCATAGTTACTACAATATTACTCGTTATATTCTCTATGCTGTACTGTACATTCCCATGATTATTTAGTAACTGCCAAGTTGTACTTCAATTTGTTTACTATTTAATTTTTATTTTTGTTAACACAAAGTATACCAACACTACAGTAATTATACAAAGTTAAATCACCAAAGGTAGTTTCTGTATCCATACCTGAAACTAGGCAAAGGGAGCCAACCCGGCAACAGCCAGGCTGCATGGCTAAAACCTCCATCCAAATCTGCATAAAGCTGTGCCACCTTCTCATTGAGCTGACTTCTGATTTCCTTTCCATGTAAACAATGGCTAGCTGTTAGAATTATGAGCTCAGAAAGAGCTTCAAACAAATCTAGAGGGGAAAAGGTCATTTCCATTAATATCGCCAAGGATTCTTTTTTAAACGTTCCATTTTCTTAGAGATATAAAATTGTGAAGGAAGAAAAAATAAAAACTTAACTCAAGAAGCAACAAGGTCCTATTATACCAACAAAAAACCTTAAGACAGATATGTGACTACTTTACCCAGCAAAACAGAGGGAGGCAGGAAACCAAATGATAGAAAGCATCCCACCCCACCCCTCCAGACAGCCAAAATCAGTGCCACAAAGGCATCTATAAACCTCACTCATGCCCTGGCCGGTTTGGCTCAGCAGTTAGAGCGTCGGCCTGCGGTCTGGAGAGACCCGGGTTCGGTTCCCGCTAAGGGCACGTACTTCGGTTGCAGTTTGTCCCCGGCCCTGGTTGGTCGTGCGGGTGGCAGCCACTCGATGTGTCCCTTTCACATCGATGTTTCTCTCTCTCTCTCTCTCTCTCTCTTCCTCTCTCTCCCTCCCACTCTATCTGTACAAAAAATGGAAAAATATCCTTGGGTGAGGATTAAGAAAAAAAAAAACCTCACTCATGAGCCCTTCGCCTTGAAAAGATAAAGATAAAAATGAATATGGCTGAGTCCAAGGTCCCAGTATAACAAAATCAGCAAAAAAGGTTACTTAGTGCATATGAAGACAATAAAGAGGTACTTCCCAAGGAATAGCAGTCCTAAAACTGAAGAATAGATTATTTCCCAGGTCAAAAGTGGGAAGGGCAGGACTAAACATTGAAGTCTTGACCACATATATAAGAGAAAACTGTAACCAACCGTCAATTCATATAGCCCAATACAGGGACAGATTAATCAGGCAAGCATTATTTGGATGACACTTAAGGCATAAAAATTATCCAAGCAATGCCATGTTATTTAATTCCATGTTCACCAATGAAATTCCAATTCGCATCTGGCTTTCCAGTTAGATTTGCCAACAAAGAAAAGTTCAGGGAATTTTCTGGTGTTCTTGATACTATAATTATATCTCACTTGTATTTAAGTTAGTGTTCTTGTATACGTCAGCTTTTTGTATGGTTAAAAATAAATCACATCAACTTCAGGTGTATTTTTTTTTCAATCAAGTTTCTGGACCTTTTATAGAGCTGAAGACCAGACCCAGAACATGGTGACCTACGCAGAGGTCTTGCTGCCCCCGAGGCAGATGTTGCTTCCTTCCATGAGCATGACAATGGTCTCCCAGAGGCAACACTTACTGCAGTCCAATATAAAGACTGGATTCCCAGAAAATCCAAACATTCAATACATTATATAATTCAAGAATGCATATAATAATACATTTTTAAAGATTTCTACTGGAAAGGGCTAAAATCAAACTTCTGGTAAGCTTATGTATTAAATTTACTTTTTTCATAGAATAAATCATTCTCATACAATATTACATATATAATTCAATCATTTAGACTTTTACTTGCCCATTGGGAGTAAAAAAATTATCTTACAATGAACTTGCAAAAGTTTTACATTGTTTATTTCAAAATCTGATCATGAACCATTTTTATATTATTTGTACAAATGAGGTGAATATATTTGTTAACCCATTTTAAGGTTTGCTAGTGAGCAGCAATAATCAGTTCCTCTCAGGTCTTTTTAACTCCATGGTAATCATAGCATGTTTTTTCCATTAAATTTAAGATGGTTTTACATTATGTTGTTTTATACACACACACACACACACACACACACGTATTCTTACATTTATAGTTATAGAAAAGTAGAAATATTTGGACAAATGCAAAACCAAAACATCTTGCTTACTTTTTTCTCCACTTTCTCCCCACTTTTGAAAATATTCCTTTGTTTCATTTTCAATTATAGAAACATGCTGTCTAAAATGGGCTATGTTAAGGCCACTTTTTAACATTTTCTTCTGCTCCAAGAAAACCTTTAAAAAAATTAAGAGCATACAGCATTAAAACACAATTTTGTTTTATCACAAGATCCATTTGGGTTATAACTCTGAACACAAAGAAAATAACCTTCTGAAAAACTGAAAATAAAAATAGTAAAAGGAACTTAGAGCATTTATGTATATATCTGAAGTAACATGTAGAAGACACCTGTTACACAGGCCCTAGACAAATGATAAATTAGGAATCCCACGCTTCCTGGCTTCCTTCCTCCTTATCTCTTTTTCCAATTCTGACTCTAGGGCTCCTTTTTCCTCTTCTGTTATTTTCTAGTCTTCCAACCCAACCCAGATGCTAACGCAATCTCCCTAAGGTCCATTATGCTTCAATATTTTTATGTTCCCTCACATGTTCTCCTGTTCTATTTCCAAAAATATCATTCCGCACCGACACTATCTTCCAAAAGTTTAGTTATAATATAATATAGTCTTAATAAAATAAATTCGGCCCTGGCCGGTTTGGCTCAGCAGTTGGAGCGTCGGCCTGTGGACCAGAGTCCCGGGTTCAGTTCCCGCTAGAGGCACGTACCAAAAAAAAAATAAAAATAACACTCATCCTACTAAATAAATAAATAAATAAATAAATAAATAAATAAATAAATTCACATTAAGACAACTAATGGTTTTAACCCTTTGGAGCATTTCTATTTTAAGAATCTGATAAGCTGTGTGAGAAACTGGATATATCTCACCAGAGGTTTTTTTCTAGGGATCTTGAGGAGAGCAGTTCATCCCCCTATAATTCCCCATCCCCAAAAACTATTCACGTCAACTCTCTTAATTTCACGTCAACTCTCTTAACTATTAGTCACTAGGGTACTGGGTAATGTGTGATATGTTCATAGTCAGAGCCCACAATAAGCAACTGGCAAATTATCTCATTTGTGTTTTATATCAACTTGCAGCACTTTAATATTTGACTAGCAGGGAAAAGAAATCACACAGACTTCTAATGTCAAAGCTCTCTAGCTCAAAAGAGCTCTTGTGCTAGAATTTAGGCAGGAATGGGAAGGTAGGAGGCTCTCCAATGAAATAATGGGATTTTCCTTTTTACCCACTCAAATCCAATAAGCTGAGTCATCACTGATTCTATTTCTTTATATAGGATACCTTTTAAAATTGCTCAGCCCATGCCAACCACTATAAAAACAAAACACCCACTGCTTGTCAGTTACTGTGGCTTTCCTTACTAAATCTCATGATTCTCAGATTTGTGAACCAGGGAATAAACTGCTTCTACATTTTAAATACTATTACACTACTGGCTATAACTCTTATAGTACAGATTTATCTTTTTTGAAGATAACAGTGTCACCTACTGGATTAGGCACATCATATGCAACTCCCTTCCCAAACACAGGTGTTGTCAGACGACTGTAGACATCTTCTGCATTCAGGTCTTCATTTTTACTATTAAAAAGCAGTGAAGCCGCATCACTCCCCAGCAGGTAAGTAAATGTCTTGCCCACCATTGTAAAACTAAACACAGGTCCATACTAAAAAGAAAAAAGTACCCAAAGTGACGTTACCAAAAGACATACAGCACTAAGACACTAACTTCTTAAATCACAAAACAATACATTGTTGAAAATAAAAACATTCATAAACCTTAATGCAATTCTTCCCCAGTCTTTGTCCACATTTATAATTATGTCCAGCCAGTTACAAATGGAATATAAATAAAATTTTTATTTTGCTCCTTTCACTGTTTATATTGAAAATATCTTATACACATACTATAGACATCATAATATTAATAATGAACTATTCTTTCATTGTTAGACATGGGTAATGTGTCAGTTTTTGTTTTTTCGTTTTTTTTTTATCCTCACCCGAGGACATTTTTTCCATATTTTGTTCAGACAGAGTGGGAGGGAGGGAGAGAGAGAAACATCAACGTGAAAGGGACACATCGAGTGGCTGCCACCCGCACAACCAACCAGGGCCAGGGACAAACTGCAACCAAGGTACGTGCCCTGAGCGGGAACTGAACCTGGGTCTCTCTGGAACGCAGGCCAATGCTCTAACTGTTGAGCCAAACCGGCCAGGACTATGTGTCAGTTTTTAAATTATATACAATTCTGTAATGACTATCTTTAAGAATATAGATTTTCCCCCCTTTAACCTGGAAATCAGGTTAAAGATAAATTTACAAGAGTAGCTACAGGATATGACCTACAGTACTTGCTATGTGAAGACACCAAAAGTTTATTTAGTTATCAGTTTTTTGTTTTGTTTTGTTCAGTTTTACCACTATCTCACCAACAACGTGCTTCAGCTTCCCTTATCTATAAAAGGGGAATAACATGCCCAGCTGGTGTGGTTCAGGGGTTGAGTATCGACCCATGCATCAAGAGGTTGCCAGTTTGATTTCTGGTCATGGCACATACCCAGGTTGTGGGCTCAATCCCCGGTGAGGGTCATGTAGGAGACAGCCAATCAATGTTCTCTCTCATCAATATTTCTCTCTCTCTCTCTCCCCCTTCCTCTCATTCTAAAAAATCAGTAAAGAAAAAAAAAAGTTAAAAAAAAAAGAAGGAAATAACAGTACCAATTTTATAGAACTGTTGTCAAGATTAAATAAATTAACATATATGTTAGAGATTATATATTAGAGTATACATATATAATATGTGTTATATATTATATATGTATTATATATACATATTGTATATTAGAGAAAAATTAGAATGCTTTGGCCATAATAAACATTATATAAATGTTTTCTTTTATGATTATTATTAAAAACATAGACTTGGAAATCAAACATATGTAAATACTAGCTTGGCCACAATTTTTTTAATGTCTTGCCATTTAAAAGTTTTGAAAAGCACTAATTTCTTTTCCTCTAATCATTCGGAAGACTTACCTTCTCATATGCATTTTCTAGGAATTCAACTGGACTTTTCCCAAACGCTATGGCATGCCCAAGGAATGGAATTGGAGAGACAATGTATGGTGGACTTTTCTGCAAGAGAAAACAACAAACTTTCAGTTCACTTTTTAAGAGAGAAATCCAGTTCAGTTTCATGACCAAACAAGTGAAATTGCCATTAATACTAAAAAGTTATCAAAAAATGAAGCATCAAAAGTAATAAAGAACAGCCAAAATGCAAATATCTTAGGAGTAACCATAGTAAAACGAACAGAAACTCAAAACATGGTGTAAGATAAATGACTACACAAAAACAAAGGCATTGCAATTATATATGCTGATCACTGTCCAGAATATGTCCAATAATATTATTGGTAGCTCTGGGCAAGTTTCCTAATCATGAAGAGAAAGAAAAAAAAAAAAAAAAAAACACCAGAAAAATCAAACTGTAGTTTCTTCACCACTTACTCCCACTCCCACTCACAATTTTAGTTCCAGAACTGCCTGGAAATCAAACTTGCAATGATGAAAAAGACTCCTCAAATCTTTAGTGGTCTTAAATACTAAGGAGTACTAACAAATTCACTCTTCAGAGAGTAGTAACAACAATCTTAAAATGCTAAAGCTATTTTTCTTTCCAAAGATAAATACCAGTTCCTCAAAAATCCCATTGTGTATGAAAAATACGAATACTGTCTTCTGCCTGTCACAGTTCAAACAAAAAATATTTTTAAAACTACTTGGTCAGGCCCTGGCCAGTTTGGCTCAGCGGTTAGAGTGTTGGCCTGCAGTCTGGAGAGACTCGGGTTCGGTTCCCGCTAAGGGCGCGTACCTCAGTTGCAGTTTGTCCCCAGCCTTGTTTGGGTCATGGGGGTGGCAACCACTGATGTGTCCCTTTCACGTCGATGTTTCTCTCTCTCTCTCCCCCACTCTATCTGAACAAAAAATGGAAAAATGTCCTGCGTGAGGATACAAAAATAAATAAACTACTTAGTCAATAGTTTGTACCTTCCATTGTCAGTGCAAGGACAGTTTTTAAAAGCTACTACTTGGCTCAGCGGTTAGAGCGTCCGCCTGCGGTCTGGAGAGACCCGGGTTCGGTTCCCGCTAACGGCATGTACCTCGGTTGCAGTTTGTCCCCGGCCCTGGTTGGTCGTGCAGGTGGCAGCCACTCGATGTGTCCCTTTCACATCGATGTTTCCCTCTCTCTCTCTCTTCCGCTCTCTCCCTCCCACTCTATCTGTGCAAAAAATGGAAAAATGTCCTCGGGTGAGGATTAAAAAAAATAAATAAAAATAAAGAATCATTTTAACAAAAAAATAAAATAAAATAAAAAAATAAAAGCTACTACTTGTTGGCTGGTTAAGGAAGCATTCGTCATATATAGAAGCATGAAGCTAGTGGTCAATAAAGCCACTAACTTGGAGAAACTGCTTTCATTAGCGTCACCGGACGGTCCCTACAGCACTCCAGTCACTCCCACTCTACCAAACGGAAGACATTCCCCCTTCGTGTTGACATAAGTCGCCATCTTGCCATCTTATGGGCAATGCCACAGCCCACAGGTCCCTGAACCACACAAGGGCAGTCAGTCACCAGGATGATCGCCACCAGGGCGGCCAGTACGGCTACAGGGCACTGGGCACTGCAGCCCTGGCCTCGCCTCCAGTTCTGTCATGGCCATTAGAACCACGAGTACTGCGGCTCGCACAGAATCACTCTGACCACACACACGACAAGCACGACCCCGGCCAGGACCAGACACGCGGCCACTGCCAGAATCAGAACCGTCAGCACCAAGGCCAGCACGGCCAGGGCAGTGGCACCTACCCCGGACCCCCTGCGCCCCCGCCGCCCGCCAACGCCCAGCCGAGCACAGCAGCGGTCACCGCCCCCGCAGCCCTTCCGCTCCCTTGGTCGCTGTGTCCCCTTTCCGGACCCCCGGGGGTGCACGTACAGCTCCGGCCGGCAGTGGGGCGAGGTGGCCGATGGCAAGGCGGAGCAGGTAGACCAGGCTGAGCGTGAAGGCGCAGGCGATCAGTAGCATGGAGTGGAGGTTGCCGCCTGTCACCTGCTCCATCGCCTGCCCCAACACCGACCCTCCCGCCTGCAGTAAGCCCAGCAACACCATCCCGGCCGCCCCCGCTGCTTCGGTTCTTCGGAGACGCTGGAGGCCGAGGTCGCCGCTGCTCCTCGAACCTACGGAGCAAGAAGCCGGCAGAGGGGCGTCCCGAGGCGGCCGCCGCCCCGGCCCCCGGGTCTCCTAGTAATCCCAGGCCCGCCCCTCACTGCCCACTCCCGCGCACCACTCGGTGCGTCACAGGGCGGGGCGGGGCCTGCCGCTGGCCACGCCCCCAGCGGGGACTTTATGCCGCCGAGGTCTCCTTACGCCTGGAGAGAGCGCCCGAAAAGGCAGGCTGCACCTCCGGACCAGGTGGTCCAGAGGGTGCCCAGGGCGTGAGTTCAGGAGGAGATCGCCCCTGGGGTTCGCGGGCCACTGGAACCTGTGTGCCCTAGATGCGGGGTGCCAGGACACGACGCCGCCGAGGGCGCCGGCGGAGGGATCTCAGAGCTGGGCGCGAGGTCGGACAGGAGGCGGCGGCGCGCTCTGTGATTGCACCGCGCGCGTGAGGTGATCTCAGCCTATGTCGCGTCAGCGGGGCGGGGGGCTTGAGCGCCGCCCCTGCCTGGGCGCCGGGTCCCTTCGCGGGCTCGGGGCCGCGCACCTGACCTGCTCCCCGGCGTCTTCCGGACTCCCACACACCGCCCTTAACAGACGGTAAAGGAAGGTTGTGAAAGGCTCCCTCGCCTGAGGTGTGGGACGAGGAGATCAGTCCCAGGCACCCCGATGAAAACAAAGGTGAAGGCGCTGACAGCCGGCCAGAGGTAACAAACCTTGCTCACTAGGTACGCTGGGTTGTAGGAAACAGGTTTTCCAAACTAAATTCTTACGTTAGAGGCTGTCGTGACCTGTTTGGGCCAACAGTTCCCACTCATCCTGGACACGTAGCCGGAGTTCAGTCCTGCAACCATGCTATCTACATACGAATTTCCTTTGCCGGCTTTACCGAAGGATTGCAGATAACAACATTTTAGAACCCAAGAGAAAAACTAGAATCAGATGCTACGACTGTTTCTAAAGTCAAAGAAAAAGAACAGAACATGAAACAGTTCAAGAGAACCGGAAGTCTCCTCATGGACACGGCAGAGTCTGGTTCTCCGTCAGTGACAGCCTTAGTTCGCTGCCCCTCAGTGAAGATGCTTTCTTTAATTCCTACTGTAAAAAAATCTCTCTTTAGCCCTGGCTAGTTGGGTTCAGCGGTAGAACATTGGCCCGCGGGCCAGAGTCTTGGGTTCGATTCCGGTCAAGGGCATGTAACTTGGTTGCGGTTCGGTCCCCCGTCCTGGTCGGGGTCTTGCGGGAAGCAACCAATCAATGTGTCTCTCACACCAATGTTTCTCTCCCCAAAAGTATCCTTGGGTGAGGATTAAAAACAAAAATCTCCATTTAGGAGGGCTCAAATCCTCTCCCAAAGAGATGATTTCACCCTAGAATCCACAGCCCACGCACACCCAAACCCCAGCCCTACCCCTCCCCAGCAGGGCAGTTTACAGGACACAGTTATGCAAAAACATTTCTCTGAGTTTTTCAATAAGAGGCACTTAAGCCAAACTGTCCCATTTGACACCTGTAGTTTTCTGATACATAATTGGATCAAATACACACACACACACCAAAGACAAACATTTCTCACCTCTAGGATAATGCAAGGCCAAGTAAAGGGAGAGAAACATTTTCCTAAATGCAGCTAAATTCATACAGATTTCCCTGCTCTTAACAAAGGTGTCACATAACATTATGCAGAGAAGTGGTTTCCCATTGTGCATCCTCTGGGTTCAAACCATGCCAACTAGAGCATTTGAAATAATAAGGCTATTTACTGCTGACAGATACTATTCAGTGACAAAAGATCTGACAGTAGCTTTGAAATTATATCTTTACAATAGTAGGGCACAGCAAATTATCACTATTTTTTCTCTGTTGCTTGCACTTTGGTGTCATATCCAGAAACCATTGCCCAACCCAAGGTCATGAAGATTTATGCCTGTGTTATTTTTATTTATTTTATTTTATTTTTTAGAGAGAGAGAGAAAGGGAGGTAGAGAGAGAGAAACATTGATACTGAGAGACATATCAATTGGTTGCCTCCCACACAGCCCTGGTCTAGTCAGGGCCAGGGAAACCTGCAACCCAGGCACATGCCCTTGACCAAGATTGAACCCAAGACCCTTTGGTCCGAGGGCCAATGCTCCAGCCACTGAGCCAAACTGGCTAGGGCTGCCTGTCTTTTCTTCTGAGAGTTTTATAGTTTTACCTCTTATGTATAGGACCAATCCATTTTTATTTAATTTTTGTATATGTTGTGAGACAGGGCTCCAAATTCATTCCTTTGCATGTGGATATTCAGTTGTCCTGGTACCATTTATTGAAATGCTTATGTTGTAGAAGCCATGTGTCTATCAGAGAAGCAACAACTATAGGTCCTGGATCCAGGAAATCCTAGGTTTGAAATACAGAGTCTACACATAATAAAGATACATATACACATACATACCCTGTTGGTTCTGTTTCTCTGGAGAACCCTGACTAATACAGCTAGATTCCGCTCTCTCTCTCTCCCTCCCTCTCTCTCTCTCCCTCTCTCTCTCTCTTTCTCACTCTCCCTCCCTCCCTCCAGCTCTTAGACAGACTACCACAAGCTGTGCATGATAGACCAAGACTCCAAGACTCATAACCTGCCAACAGAAAGAGTGCATCTTCCATGATAGCTGTGCAGAAAGGTCCAAGGGAAATTCTTAATCGCCTGGGTTGAGTAAAATGGCTTTCCCTGAATCTTTCACTGTAGTTAGATGGGTAGAAGACCTTGGTATTAGTAGTTTCAGGGGTGGGGAAAGAGGATTACATATGACAGGGTTAGCTCCACCTAAAATATATGAAATGGATTCCCCATAGGAAGGAGTGTTTCAGATAGAAGAATAGGAGAGGCATGCGTGACAGGCAAAACACCACTCCACCAGTCCTATCTGGACACTCAACCAGAGGATTACTGACCCTGGCCTTGGTTTATGTTGAACAGCTATCCCACTCCAAAAATAACAGTAGGGATAGTACACTGATTTCGATGTTTAAGCCAGCATCTAAACAGAAACTGCTTCAGCTTTCTAGCTCTGATAACAGTTACTAATGAGCCCTGACCAATTTGGTTCAGCAGTTAGAGCTTTGGCCCATGGAGAGTCGATGGTTTGATTCCGGTCAAGGGCACATACTTTGGTTATAGTCCAGCCCTGGTCGGGGTCTAGTGGGATGCAGCCTATTGATGTGTCTCTCACACGTCTATGTTTCTCTCTCTCTCTCTCTCTCTCTCTTTCTCTCTTCCTCTCTCTCCCTCTCTCTCTCTCTCCCTCTCACTCTTTCTGAAGATAAATGGAAAAATATCCTCGGGTGAGGATTTAAAAACAAAAAAAGTTACTAATGACCTTATTACCTAAAAACTGGGGTTGTATAAAAGCATTATATAACAGAATTTTTTAATGAAATTATTTATTTTTAAAATTAATTATCATAATTCCAGAAAAATAGAAAACAAAACAAAACAGTGTCTAACATTTTATTTTATTATTTTTTTTTTTATCCTCACCGAGGACATTTTTTTTTTGATATTTTGTTCAGATAGAGTGGGAGGGAGAGAGAGAGAGAGAGAAACATCGATGTGAAGGGGACACATCGAGTGGCTGCCACCCACACAACCAACCAGGGCCGGGGACAAACTGCAACCGAGGTACGTGCCCTTAGCGGGAACCGAACCCGGGTCTCTCCGGACTGCAGGCCAACGCTCTAACCGCTGAGCCAAACCGGCCAGGGCACATTTTATTTAAATGTATTAAAGTGGTAGTCATCATCTCTTAGAAATGGGTGTAAAAAAACATGACACGCAATTTTCTTATATTCAGTTTTAATAAGTGCATCAAAAGTTTTCAGTTTTTGTTATGGATACACTGTTCAGAATTTAAGTGCACATGTAAAAAGTTTTAAAGCTGTTATTTTGTCCATAATTTCATATGCTCCTATCATAGTTAGCGCCCGAGTTAGTTGGTCTCTTAAAGCAGTACTGGACAAGTTGTTACTATCCATTTTCCACCTGTCAAGTGCTTGTTGGACTCTCTCACTTAATGAAACAGTGCTGAAAAAAGTTTTAAATAATAATTATGTAAAAAACAACAACATTGTTTTAAACCACTTAAATATTTTATATCCAGGTTTTTCAACCAATTTACCAGATTGAAGTGAGGATTAAGTTAATTGGTAAAAATAGTCCATATAAATATTTGGCAGAGTTTAGCACATAGAAAGGAAATGTTAGCCCTGTGCCACCCCTTGCATCCTTGTAGAAAATCAACAATTCAATTAACATTCAATTATGATTTACTCAAGACCTCAAAACAAAAATTATGGATTATGTACTATAAGCCAGTACTGCTACAGTACCACATGCTTTATAACTTGATTTCATGACAACTCTTTTAGGTAAGTTTATCCATTTTACCAGTGAAGAAACTGAGGCACAGAAATTTAAGGGACTTATCTAAGGTCACAGAACTGGTTGGGATTTCAAGCTAAGCAGTCAGTCCTCAGAGCCCTTGCTCTTAACTACATGGATCTCAAATATATATAATACACTAAAATCAGTGTTTTATAGAAAATTAGACTTCATGTTAATATGACTGTTTCACAACCATGTAATATTAATAAAACATAAATCAGAATATAAGAGTAAGCTCATACTATATGTCATTCACACGTACCTCTTTGTAGACATATCTGTTTCTGAGATTACCAGGTTTAATTTTTGACACAAAAATTGGAAATTTGCTTCAGTGATGTTGTTGGCGACTATCTTGAAGATCTTCTCTAAGATTTTCTCTACATTTGAATATAAAAGAAAATTTAGGTTGTCACTTTTGAAAAACATACTATATTTTGGGTTATTATTGTATCTAGGTTTCTTCTGTGCTCCTACCAAAAGTACATGTCAAGTAAAATTGAAAATAAAATGCAGACCTGATATACAAACTGGCTTTTTAATGTACTTCTTTATGTACTATCTTGAGAAGCCAAGTTCACATCTACTATAAATATGGTGTAGGCCCTGGCCGGGTTGCTCAGTTAGTTAGACCATCATCCCGATACTCCAAGGTGGTGGATTCGATCTCTAGTCAGGGCACATACAAGAAGCAACCAGTGACCTTGGCCAGTGTCACTCAGTGGTTAGAGCATCAGCCCCGAGCACCAAAGGACCTCAGGTTCAATTCCTGGTCAAGGGCACATACCTGGGTTGTGGGTTTGATCCCTGGCCCCAGTAGGGGTGCATGTGGGAGGCAGCTCATTGATGTTTATCTCTCTCTCTCTCCCTCCCTCCTCCCTTCTCCCCACCTCCCTTCCACTCACTCTAAAAAATCAATGGAAAAATATCCTCAGATGAGGATTAACAACGACAAAAAAAGAAAAAAGCAACTAGTGAATGCATAAATAAGTGGAACAACAAATTGATATTTCTCTCTCTCCCTCTCTCTAAAATCAAAAAATAAAAATTTTAAATTTAAATTAAAATATATGGTATATATACATATTTTACATTCAAATCATTTATTTAATGAATATTGGCTTAGATATAGAGTTTTTAGTTTAAAAAAAAGTTTCTAGCTAATTTGAACAATACTAATTTTTGTGTTATTATTGACCCAAGGTACTTTGGAAATTTTTAAGAACTAGTAATCTCGCCCTGGCCAGTTTGGCTCAGTGGTTGAGCATCGGCCTGCGGGCCAGAGAGTCCTGGGTTCGGTTCCCAATAGGGGCATGTACCACCAAAACAACAACAACAACAACAACAAAACAATAAAAAAAAAAAGACTTTACCATTTTGCCCTGGCCGGTTTGGCTCAGCGGTTGGAGCGTCGGCCTGCGGTACAAAGAGACCCGGGTTCGGTTCCCGCTAAGGGCACGTACCTCGGTTGCAGTTAGTCCCTGGCCCTGGTTGGTCGTGCGGGTGGCAGCCACTCGATGTGTCCCTTCACATCGATGTTTCTCTCTCTCTCTCTTCCTCTCTCTCCCTCCCGCTCTATCTGAACAAAAATGGAAAAATATCCTCGGGTGAGGATAAAAAAAAAGAACTAGTAATCTCCCACCTCCCTGTAATCATCTCAAATATGTTCTATGCTTTCTGGTTTTTTTATTTTATTTTACCCATACCATTAATCCCACAAATTAGATTGATGCTAATGATATAACAAAAACCTAATCTCCAAAGTAAAATTTTTAGGAAGGAACCTCATGTCCTTTGTTAACTGCACAATAAATACATCTTTCATAATGACATCCTCTCTACTCTCTCTGGGCACTCAGCTTGCAGTATGAAGGTCCCTTGGGCATAAAGAAAAGGACGTAAGTGACTAGGCTTCTCTTGTTTTTGCTGACTTTGATCTGTTGCCTTTGCCCATTGTACTTTCGCCATAGAGGCTAGAACCACATGAATCCTGCCTTCCTCAAGGACTGGAGTAACAGGACTTTAGCAAGGAGATTTCAATCATGAAGTTTAAAGCCTTCTCTAAAGTACTATTACCTAACAGAAATTATTTATGGATCTTTGGAAAGCCCTAAAATCTTTATTTTACAGAAATAAAGTTACCACAAAATGTCCCTTTTTTATTATAATAATTAGCAGAACTAACTTGGTTAACAAGTTAGAGAAAACAACAACTGTGACTTCTAATTTTATTTCTTGGGTTTTTTCTATCAATGAGGTTCAATCAAGTCTTATAAAAGCTTATGGTAGCTATGTATATGGACATATATATACATTTTTAGTGACCATCTCAATAGATTATGAGATTATAATGATGTAAGCTTCTGATTACATAAGACAAGAGTACATGATAGAATAATTTGGGGGGACAGTTTTGTATATTCAGATTATGGATATCCAGATTTCCCCAAATCTGTAACAGTATTTCTTGATTTACTATTTCTTAAATACTACATTAAAATGGAGGACCTAGCTCTGGCCGGTTTGGCTCAGCGGTTAGAGCATCAGCCTGCGGTCCAGAGAGACCTGGGTTTGGTTCCCGCTAAGGGCATGTACCTCGGTTGCAGTTTGTCCCCGGCCCCGGTTGGGGTTGTGAGGGTGGCAACCACTCGATGTGTCCCTTTCGTGTTGATGTTTCTCTCTCTCTCTCTCTCTCTCTCTCTCTCTCTCTCTCTCTCTCTCTCTCTCTCTCTTCCTTCCTCTCTCCCTCAAGATAAATGCAAGAAATGTCCTCGGGTGAGGATAAAAAAAAAAAAAGGAGGACCTAAATCTGGATCCATTCTGAGCACTGACAATGAGCAGCAAAGTCAGTCACAGGAAAAAGCTTAGTTGTTGGAAACCCAGCCCATGGGAAAGAATTGGACAGTGAAACTTCCCTCCCAGAGACTTGGAGAAACCAGTCTCCATCTGGTCCAATGGAAGGACATTTTTTAAAAATGGATCTGCTCTATGAATTAATCAGAACAACCAAAGGAGCACTTAAGGACAGAAGAAACAAAGACTGCCCAAGGACTGCAGACAGGTGATCACAGTGGGCCAAAAACTGACTGGTATTAATGGAAAGGATCTATGGACTTCTTAAAGGTCATATTTGACTTTTAGAACAACTCTAATGTTGCTACAGATCAGAAGTGATGGAGAAATATGGGTGTGGATTCTCTGAGTCTGGCTACAACTATGACGAAAAACCTATTAAAGGGTATCGAAACCAATAGGTGGGAAGCAGCCACTGACCACTTGGATTTAACTGTTTTCAATGATTCAATTTGATTGGACCCAGATGAAATAATCTGAATTACCAAAATAAACTCTTAACCTTCTGAAAAAGGAAGATGATAACTATTTTAATGTGTCTGACAGATTGAAAGTCTCTAATTAAAGCAAATTATATTTTAACTTATAGATGATACTAGAAAATAAAAGCTAGTCACTCATCACCTACCATCTCTTTCATCTGCCCTCTGTAGATAGCATGCAATGGTATACAATTGTTTTCCTTTACAGATTTCCATTGGAGGTCTCAGCAAAGGGTTATCATCAAAATTTATATCCTTCAGTGAAGAAAGGTTGTGGATACCAGTAGGCAGAGCTGTCAGATTATTCCCTAATAGAAAAATATTATAATTGAATTGTACCTTTCTGTAAAAGAAAACTATACAGACAAACAAAACTATCTATAGGGCATCTGCTGTGTCTCACTGGCAAAGTACCAGCAAACTTTCAACATGCTGGCCAAGTCATACGAGTTATTAAGTTCTTACTGTTGCCCATTTGCTAGGGTTGAAATGGAGGAAGCACAGACACAGCAGTGATTCCTTTCCTCTCATAGAGGATGGCAAAATGAGAAAGGAGGCTTTTCTCTTATAATACAGGAAAGGACATTACAGAGTAGGTGTGATGGTAATTTAAAAAAAAATTTTTTTTTCTTTATGATTTTAGAGAGAAAGAAAGGGCGAGACAGTTAGAAACATCGATGTGCGAGAACATCAGCTGGCTGCTTCCTGCACGCCCCCCACTGTGGATTTGGCCCATGACCTGGGCATGTGCCCTGACTAAGAATCGAACCAGCAATCTCTTGGTGCATGGGTCAACGTTCAACCACTGAGCCACACCAGCCAGGTGTCATGGTAATTTTTAAAATAAACTTTTTACTTGGAATAATTTCAGATATAAAGAAAAATTGCAGAATTTGTAGAGAATTCCTCTGTACTCCTCAGCTAGTTTTAGTTTCCCCTAATGTTGTCATCTCATATTACCATGTTACATTTGTCAAATCTAAGAAACTAACATTGGCACATTACTATTAAGTAAACTGGACATTTTTGGATTTCACTAGATTTTTCCATCAATGTCCTTTTCCTGTTTCAGAATCCATTCCAGGACAGCACACTGCATACAGTTAGGTCCTTAGTCTCTGGTCTGTGGCAGTTTCTCAGCCTTTCCTTGTTTTTCATGGTACTGATCATTTGAGTTGTACTGGTTAGGTATTTTGTAGACTATTCCTTAACTTGCGTTATTCTGATATATTTTCTCATGATTAGACTGGAGTTACAGGGTTTTGGAAATAATACCACAGAGGTGAAGTGCCCTCATCATATCACATCGGGGTATCTGATACCCCCATGACATCAGTAGGGATATTAAACTTGATCCCTTGGCTAAAATAGTGTCTGTCAGGTTTCTCCAAAACAGGATTTCTTCTTCCTTTCCATATTGTTCTTTAGAACAGAGTTACTAAACCTAGTCTACCCTCGAGTGGGGATTAAGCTAGTAACAGTCTTTCAAAATATATGAAAAAAAAAATTGACAGGGTGAAAAATGTACAAGTCCACAAATATAATTATAGATTTTAACACCCATCCCTAAGCAATTAACATAGCAAGACATAATACCAGTAAAGATGGAAGAGTCCAACAAGACTATCAATAAACAGACCTATATGAACATCAATTCATAGAACACTGTACCTAACATATGCAGAATACTTTTTTTTAAGAGTAATGGTATATTTATCAAAGTAGCCTATATGCTGGGCATAAAGCTAGTCCCAATAAATTTAAAAGGATCAAAATCACAGTTTAGCTGATCACAAGGAAACAACTTCTTTCCTACTAAACATTTATCAATAGAAGAATAAATAAAAGAGTATATTCATATAGTGGGCTATATACAGTATTAAAGGTGAATGGCTTACAACTACATAGAATAATATGAATGAATTTCACAAACATAATTTTGAAAAAAGAATCCAGACACAAAAGAGTACATATGATGCACACACATGATGATTTCATTTAAGGCCGACTATTGAAAATCGTGATGATAGTTCGTTCACACTTGGTTGAGAGAAGGGAGAGAAATGATTGGAGGGAGCAAAGAGGAGTTTCTGGGCCTTGGCCGGTTTGGCTCAGCGGTTAGAGCGTCAGCCTGCGGTCCAGAGAGACCCGGGTTCGGTTCCCACTAAGGGCATGTACTTCGGTTGCAGTTTGTCCCTGGCCCTGGTTGGTCATGCAGGTGGCAGCCACTCGATGTGTACCTTTCACATTGATGTTTCTCTCTCTCTCTCTCCCTCCCCCTCTATCTGAATTAAAAAAAAAAAAAAGGGAAAAATGTCCTCAGGTGAGGATTTAAAAAAAAAAAAAAAAGAGGGGTTTCTGGGAAAATCCTGTTTGGGGTTTGTTTGGTTTTTTTTTGGTATCTGCCCCTAGCCGCTAGGGCCTAGCAGGAACTGAACCCGGGACTCTCTGGTCCGCAGGCCGATGCTCCAACCTTTGAGCCAAACCGGCCAGGGCTGTTTTTCTGTTTTTTTTTATCTAAGTCCTGAAATACAGATGTTTTCAGTGTGTGAAAATTCATTGAGATATACATTTACAATACATACTTTTTTTTTTTTAAATCCACACTCGAGGACATTTTTCCATTTTTTATTCAGATAGAATGGGAGGCAGAGAGAGGAAAAGAGAGAGAGAGAAACATCGAAGTGAAAGGGACACATCGAGTGGCTGCCACCCGCACAACCCAACCAGGGCCAGGGACAAACTGCAACCGAGGTACATGCCCTTAGTGGGAACCGAACCCAGGTCTCTCTGGACCGCAGGTCTAACCACTGAGCCAAACTGGCCAGGGTGTTTTTGTTTTTTTGTTAATCCTCATCCAAGGATATCTTTCCATTGATTTTTAGAGAGAGTGGAAGGGAGGGAAGGAGGGAGAAAGAGAGAGAAACATCAGTGTGAGAGAGAGGCATTGATTGGTTGCCTCCTGAACTACCCTGACTGGGGTCACGGATCAAACCTTCAACCCAGGTACATGCCCTTGACCGGGAATCAAACCCGAAACCCTTCAGTCCAGGGGCCAACACTCTTTTTTTTTTTTTTTTTTTTTTTTTTTTTTCAATCCTCACCCGAGGACATTTTTCCATTTTTTTTGTTCAGGTAGAGCGGGAGGGAGAGAGGGGAACAGAGAGAGAGAGAGAAACATCGACGTGAAAGAGACACATTGAGTGGCTGCCACCCGCACGACCAACCAGGGCCGGGGACAAACTGCAACCGAGGCACGCGCCCTTAGCGGAAACCGAACCCGGGTCTCTCAGGACCGCAGGCCGACGCTCTAACCGCTGAGCCAAACCGGCCAGGGCGGGGGGGGGGGGGGGGCCAACACTCTTAACTGCTAAACCAAACCGGCCAGGGCTAAGCTTTTAAGTTTTAATAATTCCAACTTTAATTTCAGCCATAGGGTGGTTATTTATTGCTTCCTGCCATTGCTACCTTTGTGAGAAAATCTTAGAATTCTCTTTTTACCCTTTCAGTTATGTAGTTAATAACATACTAGGGCATTAGCTACTGTTGTGGGTCTGTCTCCTGATTGAATCCTGGCTGATACACTTTTCTAATTTTGATAAGGACTATTAGAGAACTGGTTAAGCTTTCAGAAAAGTCCCTTCTGGATTCTGTCTTGATTCTGTACGAGAAGGCCTCCAGAGAACTATGCTTCCATTTGATAGTTGTGTTCTCCAGTGGGCTAGGAGGCTCTGGCCAGCCTTTGTTGTTCTTTTCATGCACAAATAGTAGGTGGTGGAGTGTTATATCCTATGCTTAGACAAATAACCTTCTTAAAATACAGTAAAACTTTGCCATAACACAGCAGTGGGACAAAAAAAATTAATTGCAGGGCTGAGTTATTGTAACTTACTGCAAAATTAGTGAAATGACTAGTGTGCACCTGCAGACTCAGCGTACTAGGAGTTCTGGGGATTCAGGAGGAAAATGCCAGTAGCATCAATCTCAGTATTGATGTATACTATAGGTTTTACTGTACTACTGGTACAATGGTAACAAAAAGATGGACTTTGTTTTTAATCTGGAAATTCTCTAAAGAGGGCTTCTTGCCATTATAAATGTTACTTTTAACTGAAAGACATAATTTCATAAACTCAACTGTTCTTGGGCTGGTACAACCACTGTGATCATCAATTTGCCCAAGTTGAAGATGTATATACCCTCTGATCCAGCAATTCTACTTCACGCTATGTGCACTAAAGAAACTCAGTGCATGTAATTTTTATTTTATCTAGAATGGTGCCTGATACATAATAGGCAATCAGTAAATAGTGAATGAATGAATGTATAATTAGAATATGAAAGAGAATAATGGAATGATAGAAAAAAATCTATATGTGTCTTTGTGTGTTTATAAGGGATATTAACTTTAAAATTTATGTTTTCTTGTAATATTTTGTGTGATAAATATGCATTACTTTTTTAAAAAATCCTCAACAGAGGATATTTCTCCATTGATTTTTTGATAGAGTGGGAAGGGGAAAAGGGAAGAGAAAGAAAGAAAGACATTAACGTAAGAAAGACACATGGATTGGTTGCCTCCTGCACGACCCTGACCAGGATCGAACCTGCAACCGAGGTATGTGCCCTTGACCAGGACTCGAACCTAAGACTCTTCAGTCTGCAGGCTGACACTCTAACCACTGAACAAAAACCAGCTAGGGCAATATGCATTACTTTTGTAATGAGAACAAAAAAAGAAACTCAGTGCTGATGAATACTGAGAACATGTACAAGGATATTGATAGTAGCAAATAAATCGGAAACAATTGTCTATCAACAGGATAATGGACTAATTGTTGTTTAACCATATAATTTAATATTAAACAGTATTTAAAATGAATGAAATATATCTATATATATTAACATGGGTTAATTTGAGAAATAGGACAAATGAAAAAAGCAAGTTACAAAACAGTAAATTACATACCATATGTTACAAGTTTTAATAAAGCTTAAAAAATACTTTTTATGGATATATATACATACATACATATACGTATATATGGATAAAAATATGGATGGTAAAAAGATATACACCAATTTCAGCCTGGCTGATGTGGCCCAGTGGTTAAGCGTCGATCCATGCACCAAGAGGTTGCCGGTTTGAGTTCTGGTTGGGGCACATGTCCAGGTTGTAGACCAAATCCCCAGTAGGGGGCATGCAAGAGGTGGCCAATTGATGTTCTTTCTCATAGATGTTTCTATCTCTCTCCCTCTCCCTTCCTCTCTCTCTGAAATCAATAAAGAAAAAAAAGATATACACCAATTTCAATATAGTGGTTACTTTTAGTTTGGGGATAGGTACAAAAGAAATTTCAACTCTATTATTTTATTTCTTAACAGTCAAAAATATCTCAAGTAAATATCACAAAATGAACATTCTTTATGTCTTGGAATAGGTACATAGGTACTTATTAGCTTCTGTAAGTTTGAAATATTTCATTAAAAATTATTTTTTAAAATACCAGTCTAGTATTTCTTGTGCTTTGGGAAGTCTTTAGAGTGAGTGATTTACTTTTTGTTTGTTAATGTAGTGATTTACTTTGTAAAAACTGTAAGGTATTCGAATAGGGTGTAGGAGTGGTATCAGGGGAGCTACCAAAGGAAGGAAAACAGAAAATGCTGACCTAAAGTTGTATAGGTAGGTGTGTGTACAGGGAGGGATGAGGTCAGGTTCAGAAAGGGAAGAAAGAGGTCCTGGCCAGTGTGGCTGATCAGTTAGAGCATCAGCCCGAGGATCAAAGAGTTGTGGGTTTGATTCCGGTCAAGGGCATGTACCTAGGTTGTAGCAGCACGTCCCTGGCCCTGGTCGGGGTTGTGTGGAAGGCAACCAGTCAATGTGTCTCTCTCACATTGATGTTTCTCTCTCCCTCCCTCCCTCCCACTCTATCTGAAGATAAATGGAAAAATATCCTTGAGTGAGGATTAAAAAAAAAAAAAAAAAAAGGAAAGAAAGGGTATAGGCAGAGAAGACAGAATGAAAAAATGTTCAAGTTCCCCAGCTGGATTATAACCTCTTTTAGGGAAGAATTTTCTGTTCCTATGATAGCCATTTCCTTCCAATGGACAGTGAATACATTATCTCATCTGTTTGCCATCTGTCTTGTTAGTAATAATTTGCAACCTAGACGCTAATACTCTACTTATTGATTACGCTTGACACTCACCACTCAAGTTTAGTTGCTGGAGTTTGTTTAAAGATAGAAAAGATGGTGGCAGAGAATTTATTTGATTGTTGTAGGCATTTAAACTAACCAAACTTCTCAATTCCCCTATACTTCTTGGAATCTCTCTGATTGCATTATTTGAAATATCAAGTCCTTTAAGTTGAGTCATATTAGACAGCTCTTGTGGAAGCCTTGTTAACTGTAACAAAGATTAAACAATTATATTTTTAATAAATATTTCTATGACTAAAATTTCTAAAATGAAATGGAAAGAGGGAATTTTTTTTTTCTTAAAAAAAGATATTTTCATTATGTCACAAATTCTTTGAGACTCCCTTCCTTGCTAAAACCCACCACATATTGTGTGGTTTCTGAGTACTGACCCATGCTACCAATTCAATCCTGGGCTTGCTAATCCGCTTTCCTTACTCTCTAAACACTTGATGTTCAGTCCTGGCTGGTTTGGCTTAGCAGTTAGAGCATGGAGGGTTTGATTCCCGGTCAAGGGCATGTACCTCCGTTGCAGATTTGATCCCCAGCCCAGTCAGGGTCATGCAGGAGGCAACCAATCAATGTGTCTCTCTCGCATCAATGTTTCTCTCTCTCTCTCTCTCCCTCCCTTCCTCTCACTCTATTAAAAAAAGAATATCAATAACTGGCTGCGGTGGCTCAGTGGCTGAGCATCGACCCATGCACCAAGAGGTTGCTGGTTCGATTCCTGATCAGGGCACATGCCCATGTTGTGGGCCAAATCCCCAGTGGGGGGCATGCAGGAGGTGGCCAGTCGATGTTCTCTCTCATTGATATTTCTCTCTCTCTCTCTCCCTTTCTAAAACCAATAAAGAAAAAAAATGTTTTTTAAATCAATGAAAAAATATCCTCAGGTGAGGTTTAAAAAATAATAATAATAAAAATAAAAATAAGCACTTGAGCTCTGGCTGGTTTGGCTCAGTGGTTGGAGCGTCAGCCATGGACCAAAGAGTCATGAGTTAGATTCCAGTCAAGGGCATGTACCTCGGTTGCGGTTCAGTCCCTGGCCCTGGTCAGGGTCATGCAGGAGGCAGCCAATCGATGTCTCTCTCTCACATCGACGTTTCTCTCTCTCCCTCTCTCTCTCATTCTATCTGAAGATAAATGGAAAAATATCCTCACGTGAGGATTTAAAGAAAATGAAAACACTTGTTGTTCACTGTCACCTTATCCCTTCCTTCTCTTCTTAAATTTGACCCTATTTAATTTATTGTCTTCCCTGAATTTTCTTCCAATTATTCTGTCCCACATTTGATCTGATTATTCCTACTCTAATCAACATTGCTTTTTATTAATGTCTTGTGTTTTCCTTGGATTTTTAAGTGACAGTATATTTTTTATATTTTTTTGTGTACGTATTCCTAAGCATGGCGCATTTTGAGTAAATGCTCAATAAACCCCTTTAGAATGGATTCACATAGTTTGGCAGTGTTACCTCAAATACATATTCCTAGTATAGAAAATACTGCAAAATAACAGGAATTAAGATACTCTGCTAAGGTGAAGGAAAAGTGCATACATTCAGAGAAATAAGCACTCACAAGTGGCTTTTGAAATAAAGGAAGTTCAATGAGTGAATAAAAGAATTTTGAATATACAGACCCCTCAGAAATATCCAAGCAAGATAAATCCTGGATATTGCACTCAATGTTCTTCTAGATATGAAAGAAGCATAAGAGACAGTCCCTAACTTCAAGGAGAGTAAAATTCAGTTCAAGGAACAAAATATACGCATATTAAACAATCAGGAAACAGTATTAAGTAAAAGTAATCCAGTGCCAAAATAAAGACTGCAAAAACAGATATGTGGATATTTAGAGAGGGAGATATGTTTGGAGAAGGAATATGGAACCAGGCTAAGGGAAGACTTGAGAGCTGAGCCTATGAGGTAAGAAGCAGATCAAGATATGTGGGCATCCATAGTCTGACATTCTTTCAAACAAATATTCTTTTAACTACTTGCTCAACATTTATTACAGAAAATGTCCGAGAACTGTGTGATGATAGAGCTATTATGGAAGGAAGATATCTTTTGTGCATCCTTCTTCATTTAGCAAAATAAAAGCCCAGTGTTCAACCTGACTCATCTTCAGATGACTGTTTAGTAACCTTCTGCTGTTATATCAATTAGCCCTTTGGGTATGTCATCTTCTGGTTATCAAAGTGATCTTTCCAATCATATAGAATATTCTTTTTTAAAAAATATGTTTTCATTAAATTTTTAGAGAGAGAGGAAGGGAGAGAGAGATAGAAACATCTTTGTGAGAGAGAAACATCAATCGGCTGCCTCCTGCACACCCCCTACTGGGGATCGAGCCTGAAACCTGGGAATGTGCCCTGACTGGGAATTGAACCAGGACTTTTCAGTCCATGGGATGACACTCAATCCACTTAGCCACACTGGCTGGGTTAAAATATTCTTTTTGAAAGGAGTTTTGTAAATCATTATTTTCTGTTGACCTTTGAAATCATGTGATTATGTGGATTGGTGACTTTGCAACCACCCACTATGAGTAGGCAATAGATATGTAATCTGGATTCCTAAGAACAGTCCTCTGGAATGAAGTTGTGTGTGTGTGTTTTAATTGAGAGAGAGAGGAAGGCAGAGGGGGAGAGAGAGAGAGAAACATCAATGTCAGAGAAAAACTCTCCGCCCCTACCCCCTGCAGGCACTCTGACCCCTGGATATGTATGTGCCCTGACTGGGAATCGAACCAGCAACCTTTGGTGCACGTGATGATGCCCAGTCAACTGAGCCACACTGGCCAGGGCTGAAGTCTGATAGTTTTAACAAGTTCTGATATAAGGGAAGAGACTGGATGAAAGAGAATAGTCAGGAGGCTCCTAGAGTAGTCTAGGCATAATGGGAGTGATGACCATGGACCAGGGTGGAGACAGTGACACTGGAAAATGAGGGAGATGACCCAAGACCTTTTTCAGAGAAAAAAAAAATGACACTATATTGGTGTAAGATTCAGTATAATGGTGATGGAAAAGGAACAAAGATGATTCCATGATTTCTAGATTGGCAGGTTTAAAGAAAGTTGCATCACAAACAGAAATGGAGACATTTGGAAGGGAAGAAAGATAAGTTTGAAGTTATGTTGAGTTTGAGACAACAGAAGAATAAAATAAGATTTTTTTCTGGGGAAATTAAGAACTATAGGACTAGACCATGGGTGAGAGATCAGCTGCAGTTATGTAAATTTGAGGGTCATGTGATGGTGTGGTGAGGCCTAGGAAGGAGAAAATAGAAAAGAGAAAATTAAAGACATAACCTGTAGACTTCCATAATAAGATACAGGAGGAGAAAGTGAGAGGATTATAAATTAGCTAAGGGATTCATTGATACAGAAAAAGTATCTTTTAATAAAAGAGCATCTTTTAAAACACAACATGTATCATTATTCATTCCATCTAATTTAAGCAGCTTTTGCCTGGAGTAGCCTTTCTGGAAATGTAAAATAAGAAAAAGGCTATATTTATGAAGTTCATCACATGCATTATTTATGATGATGAAAAATCACAACTTCCCTAAATGCTTAATAGAGATTAGTTACATAACAATGTATTGGTTATAACAATCATGTTATATCATGGGGAAATGCTTATGACACATTAAGTGAAAATCAAATAATTTAAACTTGAATGTAGTCTTTTTATAATGGCTTATAAAACCATGTACATAAGGGAAAAAAAGACTAAAAGTAGGTTGTCAACATATTACCTGTGTTGGTCAACATACGACCAGTAGCTATATTATAATAATGTGTTTATAGAATTATTTTTTTTACTTTTCTCAATTTTCAGTAATGTGTTAATATTAGTCCATAACTTTAAAACTCCTTTTATAATTAAACAAAAATAAAAAGAAATGTATATAATTATCAGCTTTACTTGGCATTTCATTTTTTTTTTATTTATTAATTTGTTTTTATTACAGATGTTTCTCATTTTCCCCCCATTGACATCCTCCTCCCCCCCCCCCCCGCCCTATCCCCAGCTTTGTTGTTTATGCTCATTGGTCATGCATAGATGCATATAAGTCCTGTGGTTTATCTCTTCCCCGACAAACCCCCACTCCTCTGCCACCATCAACTAATCATCAAACAAGTGTTGGAGAGGGTGCAGAGAAAAGGGGACTCTAGTACACTGCTAGTGGGAATGAAGATTGGTGCAGTCACTGTGGAAAACACTATGGTGTTACCTCAAAAAGTTAAAAATTGAACTGCCATTTGACCCAGTGATCCCATTTCTAGGAATATACCCTAAGAAAACTGAAACACCAATCAGAAAGAATATATGTACCCCTATGTTCATAGCAGCACTATTTACAATAGCTGAGACCTGGAGGCATTTCATTTTATTGAGTGGGAGGGAGAGAGAGGAAGAGACAGAGAGAGAGAAACATCGATGCGAAAGGGACACATCGAGTGGCTGCCACCACACGACCAACCAGGGCCGGGGACAAACTGGAGGCATTTCATTTTAATGAAGTATTTTCCTATAAAGCTTTGTGTTGAGAAGTGTATTTGTAAGCCATGTTTGAGGTTTAAAAAGCCCATATTTTTATATTTAAATGTGTTTGTATTGATTTTTTAGAGAAAAAGGAAGGGAGAGAGAAATAGAAACATTGATGTGAGAGAAAAACATCAATTGGCTGCCTCCAGCAAAACCGCTCCCACCCCCTCGTGGGGATCAAGCCCGAAATCCCTGACCGGAAATCAAACCCGGACCTCCCAGTCCATGAGACGACACTCAATCCACTGAGTCACACCGGCCAGGCTAAAAAAGCCTATACTTTAAAAAATAAAAACAGTCCAGGTAAATTTAAAACACATGTACACATACACTACAGCTTAGATTCTGATCCCCTCTGTCCCACCTTCCCCACAAAGCCCAAAATATCAATCTCTTACCTTCCTTCCATTTGTCTGACTAATATTCAGCTCTTCCAATGATTGAAGTTGACACAGTTCAATAGGAAAATATATAAACTGATTGCTTGAGATGTTTAATTTCTGGATTCCTTTTAAATTACAGATCTCTGAAGGGATTTTCTGTATTTGGTTTTCTGAAATATCAAGTACTTGCAAATTTGTTAAAGCACACACTTCTATAGGAAAAGTTTCAAATTTATTACAGCGTAAGATAAGAATGTGGAGTGATATCATTTTGGAAATAGATGATGGAATTTTCCTTATTTGGTTTTTACTAAGATCCAGGTATTGAAGTTTAATAAGAGAACATAAGTGCTCAGAAAATATGAGGAGTTTGTTTTCCTTAATCTCTAGATGAAGCAGTTGTTTACTGAAAGATATATCCACAGGTATTTCTGAAATATAATTTCCATTAATACTCAAATAATATAGATGCTCTAAAGCACACAAACCTACTGGAAAATAGGCTATTTTATTATAATCCAATTCAACTTTAGTTATTTCCCTGCAGTTTTTTATTTCAATGGGAACATCTGTGATTATATTTCCTGAAAATCCTAGACTAAACATATTATTAAGATATGCGATATCTTCAGGTATTCTCACAATATTATTTCTGTTTATGTGAAATTTTCTTAAATTTTTAAGCTTGTGGATGTTCTTAGGAAGTTTTGTTAATTTATTATCACTAAGACTAAGGCATTCCAACATTACACAGTGGGAAATATTCTCTGGTATTTCTTGCAATAAATTTTGATCAAGCATTAGAATCCTAAGTTTCCTAAAATTTTCAATTTTGTGTGAAATAACTTCTAATTTATTGTCAGCCAGTTGGAGTTCTTGGATTTTGAACAACTGAAAAATTTCCACTGGCAAAAATATAAGTTTATTGTGATCCAGTAGAAGTTTTTCTAAAATTTTAAGCCCCCTAATTTCTTTTGGCAAACTGCTCACTAGGTTTCCAGTAAGGTTTAGTGAAATTAACTTTGGAAGAAAGCACAGAATTTTAGGCAACATTGTTAACTTGTTGTATTCCAGATTGAGAGTACTCAAATTTTTTAAACTAGACAAGGTATCTGGTATATAGCTTAATTTATTTTTACCCAAGTCTAAAGTTTCCAAGTTTATGAGACTTTCTAAGCCAGAAGGAAAATTTTCAATGTAATTGTTATTTAAAAAGAGTTGCCTGATATTCTCAAGGTGTGATATTTCTTTAGGAATATGTGATATTTGGTTGTGACTGACATTTAATATCCTTAAATTGAGAAGTAACTGAATTTCAGGTGGAAGTGATGATAATCCATTATCTTGCAAGGACAGAATTTCAAGTCCTAGCAGATCACCTAAGTCTGTTCCTTCAAAACTTTTGATTAGGTTCTCATCTAAATATAGATATTTTATATATTTTATTTTTAAAATGTCCTTAGGGAATTCTTGTAAACCTTTGGCCTTGAGGTTAACTGTAAAATTATCTGACCCTAAGTCAAGCCCATTCTGATTTTCTTCAGAGAGTTGTAGACTGCTTTCTCCTAATGTTTCATGAGATAGGAAGTCAACAGAAGCCTGATATTCAGCAGTCATCTGAGTTATTGATAATGACCGACCTGGTGTAGTTTCTGTTGTTGACTGCAAACTGTCATGTATATCAACTCCTTTGGAAAATTGAGTTTTCCTTTGTTCTTCATTTATCTTAGACTTACTTTCAGAGGAGAGTATTGCTGTATCATCATGTATACCTAATGTATCCATTCCAGGATGTGTTTCACAAATCTAGTCGGAAGATTTCCCATCAGAAGTTTCCTTTAATAGATCTGAGGTTTCTTTAGTAAATCCAGGCTCCCCCACCAACTGTGATTTAGATTCTTTCCTGAATCACCTAGTGATATCCTCTACCTCTTCTGAAATATCCTCCTTTTCATATATCTTATTTGCTGATAGGTGTTATATCATTACAAGATTGTAACTCAGTTTTAATTTTCATGTTCAATTTTTTCCTTTGAACCTAGAAAACAAATGTTCATATTAAAAGAGATGTTATAAAAATGTCAAAGTTACAAATGAATTGTAATATACTTCGCAGTCTATAATGACTAATTTAATAAATATAAAATAATACATTTATAACTAATTAATTTATATGATTACTGGTTAAGTATGATTTATTGACTATATGTATCATATTAAACTCTTTATGATTATGATTATTATTTTTTAAATCCTCATCTGAGGATTTTTTCCATTTATTTTCAGATAGAGGGGGGGATGGGGAGAAAAACACCAATGTGAAAGAGACGCATTGACTGGTTGCCTCCTGCACCACCCCTGCCAGGGTCAAGACGAACCACAACTGAGGTATGTGTCCTTGATCGGAATCGAACCCATGACTCCCTTTGGTCCATGGGCTGACCCCACTCTAACCACTGAGCTGAACCAGCCAGGACCATAAAGTTTTTAATAACCCAGCATTTTTCCTTCGTACTTTTATTCCCAGGATGGCAGATACTTCATAGATTTACTACCTCTGTTATTGCAGTTCCCCCTTACCTTCTCAGTTCTCTAATAGTTGTCTACAACACAACTTCCTAAATTAAATCCTTTCTATTAAACTGGTATGGTTTCAATATTTCACAAACTCTCTAAGAGAACAGAAAAAAGAGGGAACATTTTCCAACTTGTTTTATGAGACTAACACTAACTTTTACATCAACGCCTGATGAGGACAATATGAAAAAGAAAATTACAGGCCAATTTTACTTAAGGCAAAGATGTAAAAATTCTAAACATAAAAAAACTGTTCTAAATATTATAAAAACCAACAATATATAAAAAGGAAAATGTTTTAATTTTTTCCTTTATTTATTTATTTAACAATCTAAACATTTTATTTTATTTTTTTAATTAATTTGTTTTTGTTACAGATGTTTCTTCTTTTTCCCCCTTTGACATCCTCCTCCCCATCCTTCCCCACTCCCCCCACCCCACATCCCCAGCTTTGTTGTCTATGTCCATTGGTTATGCATACATGCATATAAGTTCTGTGGTTTATCTCTTCCCCCCCAACACCCCCTCTTCTGAGGTCTGTCAGTCTGTACCGTACCTCTATGTCTCTGGGTCAATTATGTTCATCAGTTTGTTTAGTTCATTATATTCCACAAATAAGTGAGATCATGTGATATTTGTCTTTCTCTGATTGGCTTGTTTCGCTTAGCATAATATTCTCCAGGTCCCTCTATGTTATCTCAAATGATAAGAGATCTTTCTTTCTTACAGCTGCATAGTATTCCATTGTGTACATGTACCACAGCTTTTTTATCCACTCATCTACTGATGGACACCTAGGTTGTTTCCAGATCTTAGCTATTGTAAATAGTGCTGCTATGAACATAGGGGTACATAGATTCTTTCTGATTGGTGTTTCAGGCTTCTTAGGATATATTCCTAGAAGTGGGATCACTGGGTCAAATGGCAGTTCAATTTTTAATTTTTTGAGGAAACACCATAGTGTTTTCCATAGTGGCTGCGCCAGTCTGCATTCCCACCAGCAGTGTACTAGAGTCCCCCTTTCTCACTGATACAACACCTAAGGCAAGAGAAACAAAGGAAAAAATGAACACATGGGACTACATCAAACTAAAAAGCTTCTGCACAGCAAAAGAAACAATCATCAAAATGGAAAAGGCAACCCACTATATGAGAGACCATAATTGCCAATGATGCATCAGATAAGGGATTAACTTCTAAAATATATAGAGGACTCATACAACTCAACAAAAGAAAGACAAAGAACCCAACCAAAAAATGGGCAGAGGACTAAATAGACACCTCTCCAAACAGGACATACAAATGGCCAAGAGACATATGAAAAAATGCTCGTTACTAATCATCAGAGAGATGCAAATTAAAACAACTATGAAGTATCACTTCACACCTGTCAGAATGGCCGCCATCAACAAATCATCAAACAACAAGTGTTGGCATGGGTGTGGAGAAAAGGGGACTCCTTTATTGATTTTAGAGAGAGAGGAAGTGAGAGAGAGAGAGAGATAGAAACATTGATGAGAGAGAACATTGATTGGCCACTTCCTGCATGCCCCCACTGAGAATTGGGCCCACAATCTGGGCATGTGCCCTGAACAGGAATCAAACAGGCGACCTCTTAGTGCATGGGTGGACGCTCAACCACTGAGCCACACTGGCCAGACAAAAATGTTTTGTATCTAAGTTGCATTTGTCCCAAAAATGCAAATTTGGACTTTAACATTAGTGGTGAAACAGTGAAAATTTTCCTTTGATGTTGAAAGCAAGAAAATGCACCAAGAGGTTGCCAGTTCGATTCCCAGTCAAAGCACATGCCGAGGATGTGGGCCCAGTCCCCAGTGGAGAGCATGCAGGAGGCGTCCAATCAATGTTCTCTCTCATCAGTGTTTCTATCTCTCTCTCCCTCTCCCTTCCTCTCTTTCTAAAAGTCAATAAAGAAAGAAATATTTAAAAAAAAGACAAGGGAAAGAGGTACAAAAATTATAAAAGAAGAAGTAAAACTGTCATTAGTCACAGATAATATAATTATGTAAATAGAAAATCCAAGATCATATACAAATTAATTATTAAACAATGAGAACACTAAGTAATGTTGCTGAATACAGAGTCAACATATAAAAGTCAATTTCCTTTCTGATGCTAATAAAAAGGAGTTAGAAAGCCCTGGCCAGTTTGGCTCAGTGATTAGAGTGTCAGCCTGCAGTCCAAAGAGACCTGGGTTCGGTGTCCACTAAGGGCACGTACCTCGGTTGCAGTTTGTCCGCGGCCCTGGTTGGTTGTGCGGGTGGCAGCCACTCGATGTGTCCCTTTCATGTTAATGTTTCTCTCTCTCTCTTCTCTTCCTCTCTCTCCCTCCCACTCTATCTGAACAAAAAATGGAAACATGTCCTTGGGTGAGGATGAAAAAAAAAAGGAGTTAGAAAAATGAAAATTTAAAGAAGTATAATTTACAATCAAGAAATATCAAGTACCTAGGAATAAATCTAACAAAAAATGTGGAAGACATTTATGGGGGGAAAATGTTACCTAATGTAACTACAAAATGTAATAAGAGCTTTAGAAAAGACCTAAATAAATGGAGAGATTTTCTTTTCAAACAATGTATATTTTCAACACAATTCCAATCAAAATCTTAATCTCATTTTTGTGGAACTTAATAATTTGATTCTTAAAAGTATTTGGATAAACAAGGGCCAAGAATAATGTTGATACTCTTAAAGAAGGAAAACAAGGTTGGGAGGACTTGCTTCTAATATCAGGACTTATTATAAAGCTACAGTAATTAAGGTGATATGGTATTGGTACAAGAACATGCAAATATAAGAAAAAAGAATCCAAAAAAATGAGGATAGTTTAAGGAGCCTCTGGGACAACTTTAAGCATACCAACATTTGCACCATGAGGGTGTGGAAGGAGGAGAGAGCAAGAAATTGAAAACTTATTTGAAAATATAATGGAAAACTTCCCTAACCTGGTGAAGGAAATAGAAATACAAGTCCAGGAAGCACAGAGTCCCAAACAAAGTGAATCCTAAGAGGCCCACATCAACACATAATAATTAAAATGACAAAGGTTAAAGACAAAGGGAGAAAAGCAGTTAGCTTTCTACAAAGGAGCTCCCATAAGACTGTCAGCTGATTTCTTAACAGAAACTTTTTAGATCAAAAAGAATTGGCAAAAAATATTCAAAGTAATGAAAAGCAAGGACCTACAACTAAAATTACTCTACCCATCAAAGCTATCATTTATAATTGAAGGATAGCCCTGGCTGGTTTGGCTCAGCGGTTAGAGCATCAGCCTGTGGACCAGAGAGTCCTGGGTTCGGTTCCCACTGGAGGCATGTACCTCAGCTGCGGTTTGTCCCCGACCCCAGTTGGGGTCATGTGGGTGGCAGCCAATCAATGTGTCTCTCTCACATTGATGTTTCTCTCTCTCTCTCTCTCTCTCTCTCTCTCTCTCTCTCTCTCTCTCTTCCTTCACTCTCCCTCCCACTCTATCTGAAGATAACTGCAAAAAATGTCCTCGGATGAGGATAAAAAAAAGGAATTGAAGGATAGATAATGATTTTCCCAGACAAGAAAATGCTAAAGGAGTTCATCACCACCAAACCAGTACTACAACAAATGTTAAAGAGTCTTCTTTAAGATGAAGAAAAAGAAAGATAAAAAATATGAATAATAAAATGGCAATAAATACATATGTTTCAACAATTACTTTAAATGCAATGGATTAAATGCTCCAATCAAAAGACATATGGAGGCTGAATGGATAACAAAGAAAGGTCATTACATATGCTGTCTATAAGAGACTCACTTCAGATCAAAAGATGCACACAGACTGAAAAGTAAAGGAATGGAAAAAGATATTTCATGAAAATGGAAACAAACAAACAAACAAACAAATAAAAAGCTGGGGTAGCAATACTTATACCAGACAAAATAGACTTTAAAACAATGGCTATATAACAAGAGACAAAGTAGGACCCAGCAATTCCACTTCTGGGTATTTATCCAAAGAAACCCAAAACACTAAATCAAAAAGACATATACATCCATATGTTCACTGCAGCATTATTTACAATAGCCAAGATCTAGAAGCAACCAACCATCAATAGATGAATGGATAAAGAAGTGGTGCATATATACAATGGAATATGACTCTGACATAAAAAAAGAATGAATTCTTGCTATCTGTAACAAAATTTATGGACCTAAAGGGTATTGTGCTGAGTGAAATAATTAAGACAGAGGAAGACAAATGCCATATACTTTCACTTTTATGAGGAATCTAAAAAACAAAACAAAACAAACAAGCAGAACAGAAATAGACTCATAGATAGAGAGAACGTTTTGACAATTGCCAGATGGGAGGGAAGTTAGGGGAATGGGTAAAA